TTAAACCTTAATAGTGATTTGTCAAATTCCGACACCGTTTCCTTGTTTAAATATTAATCTTCATCGCAGCTAAACTTTCTCCTACTAATTGACTGTATTTTTTAAAATGATTCTGAAAATGTTCATGAAACTTCCTGAAAAAAAACGTCATTTCAGTATTATTGCTTCTTTTGGATAATATTTTTAAAAAAAAAGATACCTATTTCATGAAATTGCTTGTTAAGATCTCCAGAATGCATTACATTGAAACAAATAACCATGAAATATGAAATATTTTAAGTATATTTCAAAAACAAGTGAAATTCACAAGAAAATTAGGATTTTTTTCATTCCTCTAAAACTTAAGTTTTTGATTTTTGTGCTTATGTTTTTGACCCACGTCACTATTTTATTTTTAAAAAAATTCGAGCTTATAGCTAACTCACGCATCCCTGAGTGTGCTGTTGTTGTCATCAGCCATTAAGGCGGAGGGTGTGTGATTGTATTGCTTCCCAGTGGCGCCATCTATGACCAAGAAATCGACTTTTGCCACATCCATACGTCACACCCGTTAATAGGGCGGACTCATTCATCCGTCCATTCATTCACAGGTCATAATTTTGAACCAGAAAACGATCTATCTCCAATTTAGTACCCCCAGAGGTATTGATTTGTCATGGGAACATGGAGGGCTTTGTGACCTGACAGATTTAACGTACGCCAGTCTCCATTTACAACACGGGAAGTCTTTGACCGGCTGGATTCGAACTCCTCTTCTCAGAAACTTGTGTCGAGCTCCCTGCCAACCAGGTTATCCCGGCCCCTAGATTGTGCTAACTAAGAGATTAAGCTTTTGAGAGATGTTCAAATTTGAAGAGATTCTCTTCGGAGAGGTGACTAAGTTCCAGTGGCTGTTCCTCACTGAGACGTAGTCAAAAATGCTCTAGCCTTACATCCTAAAATCACCATCTTCCTGATCCCTCAACTCATCGTGGTGTGTGAGTGAACACCTTTGGGCGACCAACGAGGGCAGATGGGACCTAGAGAGGAAGTCAGCTTCCAAGAAAGCAGGCCACAATCTTGTCATTAAAATTTATTTCGATTTGAGTGTGATTTTAACGGTTAAATTTCTAGTTTTAGTAATTTTTCTAATTTAACTAAATTTCACTTTAATATAATTTTGGAATTTTGGTGGTCGAGGAAAGAAGAGAAACTGACGAAGACCTCTATGACGAGTAATTACTCGAGAACCTACAAAGAGTCTGGCTGTCTGATGCTCGTTATATTAGGGAAGAGTACCAAGATGGAGAGCTAGGATGGAATGTTTTATGAACTGGCGTTATCCTCATAAAATGAAATTTGACCTATATGCTCCGTGGAAAAGTCTGACATAGGATGTTAGGATCTTGTCCTTGTACCGCTGACCTATCAGAGTACCTCTATGGAACACATAAGGATCGATGCGCCCATCTGCCATAATGCTTGTCCTGATCATCAGACCACATTTTTCATAGTGGTCCTTTCAACAATCTCAGAGGGTATCAACTACCAGGATCTCTCCAGGTGAGAACACGTCTCGAGTCGCTGTTCAGATTGAATCACGACTCATCATTAAGAGTACCCTCTTCCAATCATCCTCTGTCCAAGACAGATCTTCTCGGCACCATACTAGGTAGGGTTTTTTTTTGTGGTCAGCAGTGAAAGGGTAAAAGACCACAAGGGGCGTAAAAGGCTTCTTCATTAAGTCTTTGATTAACTGTTATCTGTGAAATGGATGTTTCCTTTGTAGTATACAAAATGCAAAACAGTTGTGTTGGCACCGCGAATCAATCCATTTCGGTTAAAAATCTCAAATAATGGTCTTGAGCCGGTGTTGTTCCCCTTTTGTGGCCTTGAACAGGTTGGTGGACCACTGTTCCTATCTCTGTGAACTTTTTCCATGGAGTAGACATCACATTTCTCGAATCCCCAAGATCCCTACAGGTAGTCCGTGATTATCCCGCCTCGAGTCTTCCTACTATTCGCCTCTTGTGTCATCATCGTTAGTATGGCCAGTCCTCATTCGAGAACTGGCCACATTAACGATGGGTAAACAAAGAAATTCAAAAAAAAAAAAAGATTGGGTTAAGCTACCATGTTTAAAAACATCTTTACGCTACAAGCTTTGGCAAGCAAAAGAGGTATCCCCGAGATCCCTACAGGTAGTCCGTGATTATCCCGCCTCGAATCTTCCTACTATTCGCCTCTTGTGTCATCATCGTTAGTATGGCCAGTCCTCATTCGAGAACTGGCCACATTAACGATGGGTAAACAAAGAAATTCAAAAAACAAAGATTGGGCTAATCTTCCATGTTTCAAAACATCTTTACGCTACAAGCTTTGGCAAGCAAAAGAGGTATCCCCGAGATCCCTACAGGTAGTCCGTGATTATCCCGCCTCGAGTCTTCCTACTATTCGCCTCTTGTGTCATCATCGTTAGTATGGCCAGTCCTCATTCGAGAACTGGCCACATTAACGATAGGTAAACAAAGAAATTCAAAAAACAAAGATTGGGCTAAGCTACCATGTTTCAAAACATCTTTATGCTACAAGTTTTGGAAAGCAAAAGAGGTATCACTAGACAAACATGATCATAGAGTTACTTCCTTCCGACGTCACAGACCACTGCGTGGTTGAGGTGTCCGCGAAGAGCTTAGATATCATTTAATAATTCATTTGCGTGTAAGCGTTGCTTATTTTGTTCTTCTTTAAAAATAACTGCTACTCCTTCTGTTTTCCTCAGTATAGTAAAATAAATTATCCGAAGGTGATAATCGCGGCTCTACACTTGTTATTTTTCGAGATTTGTTGTAATCGTCATTTAACAGTCTAATGTTTTTCATCAGATGGATATGGTAGATCAGATAGATAGGATAGATTATCAGGTAGATCAGAGATATTTATAATATCGGATAAATACTTAATAAAGACATCCAAATAGCGTGCATCGAGGATTCTATGTATATGTCTGGTATTCATTTGATACTGTAACGATATTTATACGAAATTTTACATTCATATTTATCTTATATGCATTGAGTACTTTTTGACATGTTCACTATTGTACAGCTATTTTGCCGGTATCTATTTATCTGACTTAATAGAGATTGAATATTTATCAGGTATGCAGGGTGCATCTGAAAATTAATACGACTGATGACAGAACTATTAGAGTTACTTATCTGCCAAAAAAATGAAGTCATTTTTTAGTTAAAGTAGTTTTTACGATGAACTGAATTACTACGAAAATCAGAGATGGGTTTCGGTTGTAAATGTTTAATACTGTAAGAATTTTGTCATCAGTTACCTTTATTTTCAGTCTCATCTTGTTTACCTGATAAATATTAAAAACAAATCATGTAAATATCTATAAAATATCTGAACAATTATTAACCAGAATGTTAAAATATTTAATAGACATTAGGTAAATATCTGTAAAATATTGTGCTCATCAAATGTCAGACATTGGTAGAATATCGCAGGATGATAGCCTTCATATATCTTACATTGACATTCTCACGACATTTTAAGACATCTAATTTATGAAGCTATATAACATTACAAAAAGGATGTCGGAAAATATTGTCTTTGAAATTTCTCCAATATTACTAAAATATTATTAAAGATATCTACCAAATCTTATTTCACTCCATTTATATGCCATTTTGAAACTTTTGACGTTCTAATATATCGGAAAAAGATATTGAAATGAATAGTTTTTTGGAAAAACAACCCTAACTCTACCCCACTTTTTCACAAGACCTGACATCAGGCGCGTGAAGTCAGGCTAAACTGAAATCAAGCCCGTGATATCATAAGAAGAACGAAAACTTGATTTTTCATCTCCGATTTTTCTGACGTGCTTTCAAGCAAGCATTGTCGGGTGAAGACGCTCCGAGTCGGGCTGGAATTCAGCCTCATGGTGATTGGCTTTTTGCATCACGTGGTCATTTATCAGTTTTCCTTGCAAGATGAGGTTCCTAACTTCAGAAATGGCATAAATCTGACAAGCCTTTTTTCAGGCCTGTGACACCAGAAGACTGCTCCTTAGCGCCTTAATTTAGTCCTCATTTAATTGCCTTAAGGGTTGTAGTCCCGCAGTGAACTGATCGTTAAGACACTGTTCCCAGCAGATCACCGAAGTTAAGCATCACTGGCTGCAGTCAGTGCGCGGGAGGATAACCACTTAGATTAGTCTGCGTAGGGATCGAAGGTGCGCGGTATTGATCCTCGCTAAACTGTTCTACGGTGAAGTGCTCGACTTCGCGTGCAGGACATCGGGCTATCGAAGCGGGGGTGCCATCCCCTCTGCAGAGGATCAAAATTGTGGTGGCATGTCTTCGGATCATCCCCAGGGATGTCTCCCAGACCGTCGCCAATAGCCCGTTCTGCAGCTCGAATGTGACGTAAATGAACTACAACAACAACCTTAAGGGGTGAAAAGAATAATTCACACTCTATCCGATTGCCTTGGAAACTAACAGACTATTGTTATTGCATGAGGTGCACGCACTTCCGATCACCGTAAAAAGAAAACGAGAACTTGATGAGTAAGTTTTTTACGGATCAGGTTCTTATTCCCCATTGAAAACGATCGGTTTCGTGTACCATGAGCAATAAGAATAGCCTTTACGCGTAAGATGAACTATTCGCACACGCGCAAATTGTATTTACGTGCAATTCCATGTATGAATCACATGCAGTGAGAATAACCAGGTGTTTATTGTCAAGTGAAGTTTCGCGTGTGGATTTTTCGCATCCAGAAGGAATGGCCCCTAATATCACCTTTACATTTAAACTTTAAAAACAACAGCGACCTGAAATTTTGTACTACGTTTTGTAAATTAATTACTTTCAAGTTATTCTTAAGCATAATCGGACTCTTGAAAAGCATTGAAATTATGAAATTTTTTTTACCATTTAAAACTTGTTTACGTTTGAAATTTTAGTAATCTGGCAACTAAAAAATCCAGCCGAATGTAAACTAAACTTGTAGTTAGTTTTTCTGATGTTTTTGTTCTTGATCTAATCTACCGATTCAGATATATATGAATTTATTGTAAATGTTTTAATTAATTTTGTATACTACTCAAATGTATTGAAAGGTTTTTGTATTAAATGATATTCTACACAAAAAATTATGATCATCTTCTAACCTGTCTGTACAAAAGCATATTTTAAGTTAATACCATTAAAGTTTATTTAATTTTTATAAAACAAAATATTTACGTTTGTAAAAGTTTTAGATTTTATTATGCAAGTCTATTTCAAGAGGTATATTTAATTACGTTTTGCCATTAAAATATCTTGCATGTTAAGATTTTGCTCTGAGTTTTATTTTTGTATATTAGATACTATTTGTACCCTTGCTCTTCACGTTAAATTTATATTATCTTTAAACAATTGTTGTTAATTTATATGAGTCAACTTTGAATTATTGTGTTTTACTAATTAATATCAGAACTATTTACAAATTTTTTGCCCTCCTTCAAGGAAATCTTTCAAATTTTTTGAGTGGCTTAGCAACAACAAATACACATATGGAGAGTAGTTATACTCAGAGTTGTCAAGGTTTAGGACAGAATGGATTAATCCACGGTTTAAACCGTCCTGTCCGAGACTCTTTGTCCAAAACTGTTCAAAACCTTTTTACTCAAATTATGTTACAATTTCAAAAAAATATTGCGAAAAATAAAATTTTAATTTTTGATCAGGAAACAAAATGAAAACAAGTTTTGGTTTTATTAAAAAAGTTTATTATTATTTATAATATTGCATTATTTGTCCTTATGCAAAAACATAATTTATAAGTATTAAAAGCATATTTATTCATATTTAAGGGATAAGATATTCACTTTTGTTGTTCAGTGAATTGTGGAGCTTCAAAAGTTATAAATCTTTTCCTATTATATTATTTTAATAAGTGTAAGCAAATTGTATAAAATGTATCAAATATTTATTGATGTAATTATTATGCATGCAATGGTTACACATATAAAATTTTACCTTTTACCAATATTCAAGGTTGTGGACTCTTTAAGACAGTTTAGGACAGTTTTAGTCAGTTTAAAACAGTAAAACCCAAGTGTCCTGTCCAAAACTGGTTTAGGACGTCCAAAACCCCAATCCTGGATAATTGATTCGAATTTTTTTTAAATTTAATGTCTCCTCATGAATAAATTTAAAAAAAAATGACTGTGATGAAATATTTAGTTGTAAATAAAAATTAAAACTAACTAGATGCTTTCAATTTAAATTTTGTAAGATTTATTCCAGTTTTTAAATAACTTTTTGTTTGTAATTTCATGACATTTATTTTTTAGAATGAAGAAACACATATTATTCTTGAATTTCTTTCAACATTTAAAGTAAGTAGTAAAAGTGTATTGGTTTTTGATTAACAAATTGACCTGACTTTATCTAAGATTTTAATGTGTTATCTAAGTTAATGTGGAATTTCTAAGCAGTGACCTGTGAGAAACTATAAAAAAAAATTTCGAAAAATTCGCAGAAGGCGACCAACTTCATGAAAAAGTATAACATCATCTTTTAATAAGCATTCTCATATTTTTTTGTATATTTAAAATCTTTTTCGGGGTTTCGTGATCATAGTAGGGTTAAACAGATACTGAAATATCCCATGTAGTCTTGTATTGAAACTAAAATTTCAGCTTTAGATTTAAATCTTACTTGTATGATAGTAAGATAACCTAATTATGTTATAATTCTTTGCTTATTTTCTAATCCAGGTAATTATGTATTGCATACTTACCAGTTGCTGTAGGGGTTGATCACAATGTCAGATTTACATGATAGTAATGTCAGATTTACATGATAGTGATTTCTATATATAAAGATTATTTACTTAGAATAATAGTGTTGAGTCAATTGTTAGTAGGATGTCTTGTTGGCATTTACATGTTTAGCAAAAACGATAAAAATTATATTTAATTTTTATTGTAGAATTTTAATCTGTGTAAAGTAATTTTAACAAGTTATATCCTTAATTAATGAAAAATTTACTAATTAATATCCCCACTCATTGTTTATGTTTTTTTAATCATTGCTCCTTTTTCCATTGCAGCAAATTACTTTAGACGTTTAATGCGTAGTTGTTCTTATGATCGTGAAACTAAATAAAAAAAGATACAGTGTTATGTAGCTTATTTTCTTTTCAATTAATCTTTTACTGTAGTTTATTTATTTATTTTGTTTAGATTTAAATATAAAATTACATTTTACTTGATTTGTAAGTATTTGTACTCTTAAGATTAGTGTTAGAAGCAAATTTAAAAAGTAAAGTTCTAAGCTTGTATATTAGCTTTCAAATTAATGTGTTCTCTCTTTATACATTGTTTATTGTCTTGTTTTAATTGCAGCAAATTACTTCAGATGTTTTATGTAGAACAGTTCTTTTGATCTTGAAAAAAATGTAAAGTGATGTGAAATTTGTTTTTATTTTTATAGTAAAATAATATGTGACTATCTTGATTCGGTATTACAGTAGAGTCCCGATTATCCGAGTTAATGTGGACCACGACTAACTCGGATAACTGAAAAACTCGGTTAAAACGAAGAGTATAAAAAAAGAAAGAAAAAGAGTTGGTATATACAGTAAATGTATTATGTAAATGTATAATACAGTAAATGTATTATATTTAAGAAATATAAAATTTATACGAGTATACCACATATAATTCCTATTATTATTAAAAAGCTTACTTGAAAAAACTTAAAAAGTATACTTAGCTAGAATTAAAGAGTTTTTACTTAAAAAAAGTTCTTAATCGTTTTTTGTTTTACATAACTTTGGTGCTTTTCTGCAGCAATGTTTTGCCATTTTTTAGGGATAACGGGAAGGCTGGTGTCGCCTCTTTTTGTTGTTCTATGTATTCAGTAGCATTTTCGGCAGCTTTTAGTTCATCTGTGTGGGAGATTTTTATATGTTGATTTTCATCGTCACTATCTTCATCATCTTCGCTAGGTTCATTTTCATTATTGATGATATTAATGATCATTATTTCATGGGATCAATTTGTTAGATGTTGTTTTCCTGAGTGTTTGGAAGATAAAATTCAGACTTATTTTTCGGCGGTATTTTTAAAAATAAAAAATAAACTAGAACAAAAAAATCCTTAAAATATTTGATAGCTCGGTTAAAGCGGAAGCTCGGATAACCGGGGCTCGGATTATTGGGACTCTACTGTATTTATTTAAATTTTTAATTATTTTTCTATAACAGGAGTTAAAATTTTATTCTGGTTAAGGGAGCATTAATCATGCTTCTTTAACCAGAAAAATTTATTTACAGTAATTAAAACATAGCACTTAAAGTGTTATGTTTTAATTATTGTAAATAAATTTCTGCATTACGAGCTGTATTTCCCCTTTAATTAAGAAAATAGCAATGAGTCATTTTTAACCTTAATTTTCAATTTCATTTTATGTATGTTCTCTTTAATTTAGTAAAAAGTAAAAGTTGTGATACAGGGTTGCCACTCCACAAGGGAAAACCTGGAAAATGCAGGGAATCTAAAAAGTACCTAAAATAACAGGGAAAATGTTGAGAATTTTGAGTTTTTCCTTACAAACTGGGAAAGTGCAGGGAATTTTATTTCTTATTTTAGTCTTTTAAAAAGTGGTGACCATTCAAAGCGCATACTATGGGATATTTAAGGATGATTCGTCTGCTTTACTAAATTATTTCATGTACTATAGCATTATTTGTTTTAAGTAGGTTAAGCTGTTTCTTATTTCTTTAAGTTTTTCCAACCATTAAAACTTGTATAGTTAGCCTAATATAGCTCAGTCAAGAGCACAGTAATTGTGCATTTCCTTTTAATTATATGTCCCACAGTGGACTGATCTTTAAAACACGATTCCCAGCAGATCACCGAAGTCAAGCATCACTGGCTGCAGTCAGCGTGCGGGTGGGTGACCACTTGGATTAGTCTGTGTAGAGACCGAGGGTGTGCGGTATTGGTCATTGTTTAACTGTTCTACCGTAAAGTGCTCAACTTCGCGTGCAGGTTGTTGGGCTACCGTAGCAGGGGTGCCATCACCTGTGCAGAGGATCAAAATTGTGATTGCATGTCTTCGGATCATCCTCAGAGATTTTTCCCAGACTGTCGCCAATAGCCCATTGTGCAGCTCTAGTGCGACATAAATGAACTACAACAACAACTTTTGATTATATTGTGTATAATGCGTACAGGGTTAGCAATAAATATTTCCTTTATATTGTGTATAAGTACAGGGAAAACACAGAATTGTGCCAACCCTGTGATATTAGTATTATGAAACTTAGTTTTCTTTCAACCGATCTTTTTCTGTATGTATGCATTTTGATGTTCACTGTAAAATATTTTATCTTATTTTCAGGTTTGTATGAAGTTCATACATAAAGTCTCTAATCCTATTTTCCATGTAAGTAGATTTATGATAGTTTATCAATATCTGCCTTGTTATTTTACATTATATGTTGTATCGAGTTTTTAATTTCCTCTGGAAGTAATAGATTTCTTCAAGACACAGGAAAAAACTGGAAAAAAGAAACAGAAGAAAGAAAAGAAACAAGAATTATTAAAATAGCTCAAATTAAATTTAATATAGTAATTGAAAGTTTAATGATTTTGCTTATTTTTTTTATTAAAAAATAACTTTATTTTTTATTTTTTGCAGTTGTATTGAGAATTTTAAAATTTATATATCATATTAGTGTTGGTTTAAGTATTCTATGTATTAAGTAACTGGTTTGATTATAAAAATTAGTTGGGTATTTCTAACTGGGAATTCATTGTCCGTTTTTTAGTAATGTATGTTTTCACGTGATTTGTTGATTTAATAGTATTAATAAAATTTATTTTTGTTATTTTAACAGTTCGATATATAATTATAAAATTAGTGTTCATCATACTTATTTATATAACATATTGAAGAACTAGTTATTTAAATTTGTTTATGAAATTCATGAAAAAAAGTTTCCAGTTGCTGCTTTTTAGTTTTCATTTATTTGAAAATGATCTTTTGAATAGCTTGTAAATGATTACTATTATTTAACTTGATTGCAATAATAAACTGTTTAAATATATGAGAATTTTTTTTGGAAAAAAAGTTTCTTTTACTTGGGTTGGAAGAAATCTATTTTTTTCCGAGGTAGGTTTTTCCACTGCGAAAACTGCATTCTTAAATTACTCGTATCATTCTTTTACCATCTTGTAAGATGATAAGAGCTTTATTTTAGTTTTATATTTTGAAACTAAAAAAATTTTGAACTTTTTGTTAAATTTTACATAAGTTAACTTTTAACTTATTTGTTTTTAATGGAACACTCATCATATTCGTGATAATTTTTTACTAGTCTCATTCAGTAACTGTAATTTTAGTGCAATAAGTACTATTACACTACTAATTACTTTATATTTTTTTGATTATGTATTAATCAATATATAAATGTAATATATCTATTTTAGGATTATCTCGTTTTTAATTGCTTTGACTTTATGGCTATATTTGTTCAAATTGATAATTCAAAAATTACTAAATTTGTTTGTTTGGCTAAATTTTATTTTTTAATTATCTTTAAAACTTTTCTTCACTAAATTTACTTGCAAAAATTGTATGCTGTTAAATTGAAATTTTTGACGTTTTGTTATATTGGGTTGTCTAAAAACTATAAAACATGTATATGTTTTGTGCACTATAACTAGATGGGGAACTGAATTTAAATGAACGATATTTTGAAAACTTCAGGAAACTTTCAAAACTTCTGGTGTATCCCTCCACTTATGCCAATGAGGTGATGTTAAAACAGGCTTTATTTTTTAGGAGTTTTTGTTATTGTGTTTAAATCTACATGTAATTTTATCATTCATAAAAGTTTACTTTAGCTCTAAAATTCTAAAAGGTTGTAAGCCTTAAGTTAATTTTATAAAATTAATTTTACAACATAAAGCACAAGTTTGAATGTTATCTCTTATTTGACTATATTAAATTTGCATGAAATTTTGTTGTTATTCATTTATTTATTTATTTTTGAGGTATTTGGAGTTATCCAAACTCTTTTTTATTTGTCCACTTCGTTTGTTTGTCTATATTTAGAAAAAGTAATTCTTTTATGAAGATCACAGAATTATGTACAAAAATGTATCTGTGCTAAGTAGACCTGTTTAAAGAAATATGGGTTTATTTTTGGAAAAAAAAGCATGATAATGAAAAGCAGTTGTCAAAAGGTGAAGTTTCCTTTTTTTTTCTGTAAATTTCAATGTACAGGATATTCCTTGTTTGGGACAAAATTACTAATTGCAAGTCATTTTGCAATGAAAAAGGAGAACCTAAATATCAATCTGAAACAGTTTTAAGCCAATTAAGGTAAGCTGGAGATATAAGGGTACTAGATATTTGTTTGCTGAAACAAAAATTTTTAAAAATTTTAATTTTCTGAAACAAAATTGAGCTATTTTTGTATCATTTGGATATAGATGATAAAGAATACATGACTTATAACAATAATAGGCATTAAATTAAAAAATTAGGTCAAGGGAAGAAAAAATAGTTCTAATAGTAAAAATATGTCGAAGAAAGTAAATCAATAGCTATTGATGTTGGATAAAACTTTAATTTTTGTCCTTTTTCCTGTTTGATAGTATGTCATTAAAGTGTTTTTCCTTTAACTCCTTAAAAAAAAAACAAAGAAAAAAAACTGGTTTAAACAAATGGTGTCAAGAACTGATATTTTTGGTTTTGATATTTTAACACGTTTGCTCAAACTCTTGCCAGTGTGGAGTACAATTCTAGAGACTAAAATGAGCTGGCATAAGATCAGCAGCTAATGTGTTAAATTAATTATTAGGTAAATTTTCCACTTTATTATTTTTAAATTTAATTATTTGGTTTGCCTAATTAAAAAAAAAATTTATATGTTTTTTTGTTTGTTTGTAACTTGTAAATTGCTCTTAATGTAGGCTCTATGATTTCTATGTTTTATGGAATAAATAATTTTTAAGGTATTGGATCTTATATAATAACTGAATCTTGTTTAAAAAGTTTTATTTATCATTAAATTTATAAAACTGTTATAAAAAATGGAAGTGTTTTAGAATTTAGTTACCAATACTAGCAGCAAATTATTTTGTCACAAAAATTTGCAAGTTCCGTCGCTTTCTTTAGTTATATTTTACATGATTTGTAGATATTAACGTGTTACTCTATTATAATTTGTTAAGGATGAAACATTTGCATGGATTTTGGAGCGCTATTCGATAATTTTCTTTGAGTTCATATCAGAGTTGAGAGGGAAAATTCAGATGCAATCTTTAAGGTATTGGAAAAAGCCTTATTTATTTAAGCAAAGTAGAAATTAGCAAATATATTTGCTTGCATGTTTTTTTATCTTTGATTTTATCTTAACAAATTTTAATTGATTGCATAGCTAAGTTTTTTTTGCATGAATTTAAAAAATAGGTTACTTATGATGTCTTTCCTAAATTTTTTTTTTGCTCCTGCTATACTTTTTCTGTGTCAATTATTAAATTAATAGAATGTTAGATGTGAAGATCTTTTACTGAATATTTTTGGAATCTTACTCTTTTAAGTAGCTTTACTTGCCAATAATTACTCTGACAATTGCTTTGCTGCTTTCTAACTTTTTATGAAACTACTTCTTTATTTATCTGTTTTATGTTACTTTTATTACTATGTACCTTTGAAACTATGTTTGTTGTAGCAAGTATGATATCAAAATTTCGTATTCCATTTCATAGTTAATAGAGGCATTCACTTTTTAAACTTCAGAAGTTTTTTTGGGAGAAACCTCAAGATACTAGTAATTGATAATTTGTAATTTTTTATTTTTGTCTAAGCAATTAGTCCTGCTATTTTAGAAGTACACATACCTATTGGCTAATTGTGACTGTCAAATGACTTACTGGCAACTCTTCCATTTTTATTCCAGAATAAGTCGAAATGTACAGTGCATGAAGAAAAAAACTGTGATTATTAGTGCTTAAAATATTTTAAGTTTGGAAATCGGACACAAAAATAGTGTTTCTCTTGATAAATATACTATATTTTTAGTCCAATTTAAATACATGCCTTTCTATCCAAAAGGGATAATCAAATAGTTTGTATCTATGTATTGTATGGACTTTAATTGCAGTAAGTTATGATAATTTATGAAACAAATGCTAGGCACTTGATATTTCATTGTTAAACATTTTAAGAAATCTCTTTGAAAAATGTGCATATATATTTTTTTCCAGGTTGGCCGCAGATCAGGAAGAACGGGAAAATTTATCAATATTGAAAAATCTAGGAATTAAATTAAAATGCACAAAAAGTCAGGAAAAATGTACTTGTTTGAAGTACAATATCTAATACTTTTTCAAAAAAATTAGTTCTGTATTAATTTTTTAAATTTTTTTTTTATTTTTGACTCTTCTATCAAGTACAAGTGTTTTGTAATGCATATTATGCATTAGAATAAGGTATAAGTGAAAAATTATTGAGGACATTTCTGTCTCTGTTTGGAAATTCCCTGAAATCTGTCTGGAAAAATCAGGGTTTTTTTTTTCTGACTGTTTGTGGCCATCCAGTTTTAGGAAAAATCATTTGTACTATTCAATCATGTAGCATGTAAGTTTGAAAAATATTCCTTTTAATCTGGCAAAATGTTGTTCCTAGATTTATGATATAGATTTCTAAAAATGTTAATCATTTATACTGAAATAAAATTTATTTTGCCTTTCACTGGTTAAATTTTAAAAAAAGTCCTTTTTTCCCCTTTAGCGAGGAAAATGATTTGTGCTCTAAAGTTAAGGAGCTTGAGAAAGAAGCTATGAAGCCTGAAAAAGTAAAATCTCGTTGGCGTCGCAACAGTGAATTAGAAACAGGTGACAAGTCATCTGTTTCAGACGTTGATGGTGACAAAGCGATGACTGCAAAAACAAAAATGGTGGTGGATACTAAAAAAGACTCTGCAAATGATACTAAAGTCATAGATTCTAATGGAGAGGTGAAAGTAAAAATGCCTGTTTATGATTATTTGGAAGAAAACGTGTATCTTTTTGAGAGGTATATTATTATTAATAGTATTTGCTTGTTTCAATACTTAATTATTTGTAATTGCATTTAGATGATATTGATCTGAATCAGATTAGATCCATTAGTTCCTTCACAAGCATACATAGGTCTCTTCAGAAGGTACTCACTTACCAAGTTAACGCAGTTCAATGTATTTTGCTTTAAATTTGAAATGTCTAAGCACAATAGGAAAAAAATGAGAGCTTTTAAAATTCCAGTTGACAGTCGAGTTAAAGCAGTTTGTTCTCTTCTGTCACCTTTAAAACTAATTGAAGCACTTGGTCACCCACTATGATACCACGGATGTGGTGGTTGTTTTCCAAGGGGCGTTTAAAGAAGCCTTACTTCTCGAGTATGGTTCAAGGTACATCAGATGTTCCTCAATAATCTGAATTATAAATGTGCCATCTTTTGTTAAGCCATCAGCCATATTGTTATATTTTAAATTCATGTAGGATAAACTCCATTGTTGATAAAGCACAGAAGAACCATACAGCGTCTTGCGTTTCTCCATAATTCTAATTCCCTTTTGGTCCCCCAATAAGTCTCAATTTTTGCGGATAAATTGCACTTCAGCTGTCCAAAGTGCAACACTACCAGTGCAGTGTAACACAACCAATCATTTAAAAAAAATTGTGTGTAACAAAAAAAGTTTTTGTTTTAAAGGGTCCCAGTCATCGTGGCACTTCCTATTTCTAATAAAATTTAACATATTTTTTCAAATCAGTAATTTTGGATATTTTTTTGAAAAAAAAAGATTTTTTTCTTACTAAATTTAAACAACATTCTTAAAATTCACCTTTCCTATCAAATCAAATGACTTAATCACTTGCACTAAGTTCTATCTTTTTATCTGTTTGTTTTCCTCTGTACCACCCATGAAAAGCATTTCATTTCATAAAAGGGTGCTAAATGAGCAAATCACCCAATGATCTTATGAAATTTCAGCAAACAGGGATTGATCTGCTGTATTTGTACTATGAATGTTTTCTGGTTTTGGTCTACTCTTTGTTGAAAATGTCAATTCATTTTCCCATCCATTTTAAATGAAAAGGGTTTTTAAGAAATGATGCATTTGAACTATACAAGTGTCAACAATATGCGTAAAACTCCTAGAAGTACACCTATTTTTAACCCTATTTTCATAAGCATTTATCTCACAGACTGTGCAAAGCATGTAAATACTTGTAACTTTTAAGGTGTTAAAGAAAGAAAGAGGAACTAAGTATTTTCCTTGATTATTTGCTGTCTTATATGAAAATATTACCACATATTATAGAACTAGAATTAACAAACTGTTTGCTGGCTTCAAAATAGAACTCTTGATAAAATACTACAGGGTGTCCAGCAATAGGAAAAACTTGGAATTAGCGGGGAATTTATTGATTCTTAAAATTTCAGTGAAATATCAGGGAAGAAATCTGAAAAATCTTAGTAAAACAGGGGAAAGTTTTGAAACAACAAGCGATCAATGAAAGCTTCATTAATGGAGCGGTGCTTCACTACAAATGACACAAATAAGTTTTCTCTCATATTTCTTTCCTGTGGTTATGTATGTTTTTCCAATGATAGTTTTTTCCAAAATTATTTGTCATTTTCAGTCATTTATTATTTATCATTTTCAGTGATTTTCCTAAAATGGTAACTTTTCACTAAAAATTCCTTACCTTTTTTTTTTTAAAAAAAAAGAGTTGTATTTATTTAATTAACTTAGTTTTTGTTTAATATATATGTATAGAAAGAGAAGAACATTAATTCTTGTTGATGTTTTTTTTTTAATGATTTGTTTTTTGATAGGAAACGATCGAAGGGGAGGAAAGAAGCTCGTCGAATGTTATGTGATTGTTCTCTTACTGAAGAAATGCGACAAGAGGGTAAATTAGGATGCCAGGATGAATGCTTGAATAGATTACTGATGATTGAATGGTATGCATCATGTGGAATCATATTCATATCGATTTTGAGATTTATTGAATTGAATTTGTTTTGTCTCTTCATTACATTAGATTCATTGCTTTAGATATGAAGATTATTTTCTTAATAATAATTTGTTTCTGCTTGTTTGATGAATTAAAAAAAAGGACAATTGTTATTGTGTGTAAAATAAAGTTCTTTCTTTTTGATCTAATAAAATTTATTATGTTTAATTTATGTTAAGAAATCGAATCAGCCACAATTTATAAAAGTTATGTTTAAAGTGTCGTTTGGATTTTAGTTAGTATTAGGTTTTTAATAAAAAAAATCTTTATATTTCAGTGGTTCACGATGTTCTTGCAAAGAGGCTTGCTCTAATAAAAGATTTCAAAAAGTAAGTTTTGTATATTAAATATCAGGTTTAAATAATATCAAAAGTTGTATTTCATAAGTAATTAACACCTAAAATTGTAAATAACAAAATTTAGAAATTCACGTTAACGAAAACTACTTGAGTAGGCTTGATTTAGTCTTTTCTTTAATTATTATAAGAAATTACATAGGACTTTTAAAGCACTCAACTGTTCATAAACTTTTTATTAGTTAGCACTAAAAGTTTATTTAAATCAGGTTGGTTATAGTTTATAAATATTTACATTAATAGGGAGCAAAAGCCATTGACTTCAATTAATTATGAAATAATCTAAAGCCTAGACAATTTAAAACTATTTGGAAACAGCAACTCTGTCAGGTTTAGCTAGCTGCCAACAGAATATTTTTCCAAACAATAGAATTTTACTAGATTTGTGTAAAATTTTGTACATAATACATTATATCATAAAACTTTAAGAATGATGCAACATTCTGCCTTGGGCTTAACCTGTTTTAACCTAACTTTTTATATGGAAGTGATATAAAATATAATAATTAACTAAGTGACTTACTGTTAACCATCATTTCATTTCAAAAGGTGCTTTAATTTTAGTTCTAGTCACAAAAACCTAAATTATGGTGGAAGAGAATCTTTTAATTCTTTTAAACAAATGACAAAACAAACAATTGTTCTTCAACAATTTGTTTTTGCAAAAAGTTGTCCTATAAATATGGTGCAGGGGGCTAACAGGTTAAATTAAAGAATATTTTTTGGAAGCATTATTGCTATCCTTTATGATATGCATAAATGTAGGCATTCCAGCATGCACATTATTATAACATTCTGGACACTGTTCCAAACTATACAGCATTATATATATATTTTAATTTCTGTAGTTAGAACTATCATCTCTGACATTTGTAAATTGCTGATTAAAGTGAAATATTTATTCTGTAAATTATGTAATGTGGACATAATGTGACACATTTTCTTTATATCATTTTGTTTGTTTAACTATATATTTGCTTTTTGTTTTATTACAGAGATTATATGCAAAAGTGGAGCCTTTCAAAACTGATAAAAAAGGGTGGGGATTAAAGCTTCTGGAAGATGTACCAATGTAAGATTTTTTAAGACTTTTGCTCTAGATTTTAGGTTTTCCTAAAGTTCCTTTTTTTCTTCACACTTTGTCATTAATAGAGGAATATTTTCCTAAGTCATGTTTGATTTAAATTAAAATATGTAATTTTTAACACAGCATTGATGTATTTTACATTGCACAAATTAAAATTAGAATGAACTATTAAGTTAAAAATATTTTTCTATGATTTAATAAAGTATTTGTACATCCTTTTTATGATTATAAATTTTTTCTTTAAATTATGCATATAAAAAATTTTTTCAACAAAATCTATCTTTTTTATTTCAACTTGCTTAATTTTGTGGTATGAAAATTCAAAAAATGTTTTTACTTGTATTATGTGTTGTAATTAGTAGAAAATAATTAAATTGAAATTTCATTAATTATATGAAACTAAATTTTAGAATTTGTTAGAGATTTGTGTTTTACTTGTAAATCTTCTTTTCAACATCTATCATTGGATGTCCTTGACTTTTATTCAGCCCTTGCATTAAATAAAATTATTACTTATTTTCTCCATCTTCTTCTTCAACTACTATCCACATTTAAAAATTAAAATGTTAATGCTTATAAAACTATATGAACATAATATATATGTAATCATAAAGAATTTTTCTTTCAAGATTTTTGAAGAATTATTAATATTTCGGGAAATTGATTTTTGAGTTTAGATATCTGAAAACCTACAGTAATCTCATTTCATTGATTACATTGTCTAAGAATTTATACTCTGTTCCTCCATCTTGGCCCTACCTCACAGAGCATGCCAGGGCTGTCCCAACTAGTTTTTTTCCAACACAGTCTATCAGATGCTCCTTGTTACCAATTAGTAATCTTTTATGTTTTCAAATCTTTCTCAATATCATCAAGCCACCAGAGTGGAGTTCTGTCCCATTTTCTAATACCACCTGGCATGTTGATGGTTAACTGCTTCATTGGGTAGCAATCCTTTAAATAATTTTTGATAATGTTTTGATGAAACAGTTTTGATAATGATACAGACCTGAACTTAGAAAAAGAATTAAAAAGTTGTCAATCAACATTCTATCTAATTTATAGATGTTTACAGTGAAACAGACTTGAACTTTAGAAATGAATGAATAAGTTGGCATTCAAAGTTACATATAACGTTTGTATATTCTCGTTAATGGATATTTTCTTTTTAAATATATTTTTAGAGTTATCAATATTTTGAAGGAAAATGGTATTTTTATTATGTTTATTCTCGTTTAATTGAGATTTTACTCTAATCTCATTTCATTGATAACATTGCATTTATGCTTATAGTCTGTCTAAGCTTATAGTTTTTGAGACGTTTCAGAAGTTCTTTTCAGCTCCTTTTTTCTCTCGAAACATCGTAAAACGTACTATATTTTATTGATACTTTTTTTTAACATAATATATCTTATAAACTCTGCATTTTTTGTTTCCTTTCTAATAGAGGCAATTTTGTCATTGAGTATGTTGGAGAGGTTATAAGTACACAAGAATTTAAACAAAGAGTAAAACAATATGCTCGAGAAAAATCAAATCACTATTACTTTATGGCCTTGAAAAGTGATGAAATATTAGATGCAACAAACAAAGGAAATTTATCTCGCTTTATGAATCACAGCTGTGATCCAAACTGTGTAACACAAAAAGTAAGTAATTTTGAACTTGTATGAAACTGGAACATTAATGTATTTAATACAATCTTCCTAAAGTTGCAGGCTTAAAGTTTGGATACTAATGATGTTGTGAGCAGGGCCTCATTTAATTATATTAGCGACATTGCTAACAGGGCCTGAATTAATGATATAACGATGTTGCGGGCAGAAATCTGGGTGCTCTTTGCACAGAACTGTCAAAGGCTCCATGGTCATATTTTGCTTGACACTCTCAGAAAACCATAGATACACTGCTCTGATATACTAATTGGGACTCTGGTTGCAAGACATAAATAATTGGCACTTTTAGAAAAAAATAATTATGACAGTTTATTTTACGTACAAACACTACAATGATTTTTTTTAAAATAAAAATTAGGCAGAAAAGTACCTTCTTAGAAAATGTAGTACATCGCAGTTTTATGATGAAAATTATCTATAAAACATAGCGAAAATTGGTTATGGTTTTCTCCTAAAACTGCATGCATTAATGGCAACTGTTTTCTATACTAATTAAGTTATCAGGGGTCAAAATGGAGAGCAAGGAATTGACATTGCGTAACTCTTGTTTCAACTCGTGTAATAATTGTCGAGTAAGACTCACATCAGCAGCCTGTCTGCCAAGAACTTCTCAATCATTCTATGAGTCGGGTCTGAGGATATGGCTGGCCCGTCTCTCTGGTGATCATTTTCATATTCCAGCATATTCTGGGCATAATGAGGTCTATGAGATTGTGCACTATTATGCATTAAAAGCAGGGCCGTAACTATGCCGCGGCAGTCGGGGTCCTGCTCCAGGCCCCCGATGGTCAAGGGGGGCCTATATAAAGGGACCACATGACATTTTTTTTCAAAATTAAGTTTACCTCTTTCTTATATATATATATATATATATATANATATATATATATATATAGGAAAAAAATTGTGTGAAGTTAGAATTGATGAAAATCTTCTTTTTCGTAATTGCATATCTAATACTTTAACGTAAAGGGAAGGGTAAAAAACGGTTAACTTGAACTTGAATTAAACCTTTGATAACAAAATTCAGTCCTCCTGAATATTTTTAACTAAAATGTACTTTTTAACTAATAAATAGCTGTATGTGTTTATCTTTTGTAAATTTTTTAATTATTGATTTTTTTGTTTTGTTTATGTCTAGTTTTCACAAAATATTAGTGTTTACCCATATTTTATTTGTATTTTACTTTTTCTAGTGGACTGTGAATGGTGAGCTACGAATAGGCTTCTTTGCTAAAAGAGATTTAAAAGCTGGTGAAGAACTTACATTTGATTATCAGTTCCAACGCTATGGGTGAGTTCCATTACTGTTCATCTTTGAGGAACTGGAATTTAGTGATTTTTTTCATTGAGTAGAGTTATTTTAATCACATTGTAGTAAACAGTTCCATCAAGAACTATAGAGATCATAAGTAATTGTCATTACACAATTGTACAATTTGCTTACTGTGTAAGATTATTTTTAATCATGATTAGCAATAATAAAAATCTAATGGTTGCTAATAATCATGATCATAAGTGTAATTTCTAGTCTTGATTAGAAGTAAAAATAACATACTATTACATCTAATCATGCTAAGCAAAAATTTAAATTTTGAATTACAAGCAATCATAATATTAAGTTACAGATATAATTTGTTCACCAGGAGTTGGAATTTGGCTCCGCTTTCATCACGTGGTTTCCGACTTAACAATTTTGCTATTTTTGGCAGAAGGATGTGAACAATCTTGAACAAGGTTGCTATTTGCCGATCGTATGACGAAAATATTTATTTTGCAATCTTTATGTGCCTTTTTTTAACATTAAATCTTTCATAATTTGATGATATTTCTCTCTTTTGAGTGAATAGTCTGTCCTTTTTGAGGCATGTTGCTGCAATATGTTTAATTAACTAGAGTAACAAAAGGTTTAATAGCAGATGATAAAGTGAAGTAAGTGATTGAAAAAGAATTCGCTGTTTGCGTTTGGTTTGCATTAAGTGTTGTCGCAATTTCCAGCACAGAGATGTCTCTCCTCATACTCCCGTGCTGTAGTGAACTTTTGCCTGAAGGGGTGGAGCCAAGTGCCAACTCCAGGTGAACGAACTATAATCATAATTTCATGTAGTGATTGCATTGCCATGGAATTGAAAATAATAGATTACTTGTCATCATGATGTCCAAGTTGCATTATTAAGCGAATTCTGTTACTTGTTTTTAAATCTTCAGTTACATGTTATAGTAAAAATAAATTTAACCCAATATGGTCAGTTAATCAGACGATCAATGAAACAGAATATCAGTATGTGAAAGCATCAATATACCAGTATAGCCATAAGTTAGTGAGTCAAATAAGAGAATCAAAAGGTTTAAAAATTAGAAAATCAATAAATAAACTAGCGAATGAAATGAACTAGATTTGAAAGTTTCCTATGAGATTGTTTATTTCATTTTTAATTGTCCATTTAATTTCTTACAATATAATTTTATTACTCATTGTTTTACCTCTGAAATAGATCTTTATTATATATTTCTCTACAGCCGTGAAGCTCAAAAATGCCATTGTGGGACTGAAATATGTTCTGGTTATATTGGTGTTTCTAATGAAATATCTGTAGATGTCAGTATAAAATCAAATAAGCGGAAAAAGAATGAAGAGAAAAAACTTGAAAATCAGGAAGATTTAATAGTGAGTATCATTAAACTAATCCCCCCCCCCCCCATATTTTGAAATACTGATTACATTGCATTGTAGGTTTAGTGTATTTTTAGGCATTTTGTAATATGAACAGAGAGTGAAGAAACAAGTATCACATTATATTTTAAAGAATTCTATGAAAGAAGATTCTAAATTACCTATATTACATCTCATCTCAAACTAATTTAAACTTAATATTTTTAAAATTGAGTAAAATTTATGCTTTAATAATTTGTTTAGTAAAATTATGAGTAAACTAAATTCTGATTTGAGGTTTTTATATTTGACCTTCAATTGATATAAAGCATATTTTTATGTAACATTTCAAATATATATTTTTATAACATTTTTAATTCTAGAAAGTTTTAAATTTTTGGAACTAAATTTTTTTGGAGAGAACCCAGCATTTATTTCAATGATGCCTAGTTCTTTGGGACCCAGATTAAATAGGACTCGTGAAAAACTCTGAAATGTGACATTTTGATAAAATAACTTATATGTGAATTTTTTAACTGTTTGCATAAAAATAAATTTATCCTAACACTTTGTTTAAATTAAATGCTTTATTAATGTGTACTAAATGTCATTTATGTACTAAGTGTTGTCCTTTATAAACGTTCCTAAGTGGACCTACTGCCTTTCGTAACTATTAATATAAATGTAAACACTTTTTTTTCTTCTTTTTAGCTTGAAGAAGAAATTGAAAAATTGTCAGAAAATGGTGGTTTAAGAAATAAGGAAGAAACGCTATTATTAGCAAGACTGATGGTTCGTGCAGAGGATTTATCTTCTCGAGAAAAATTGTTGGATATTCTTCTAGTGAGTTAAATAATGTGAAATATTTTCTATAGTTAAACTTTTAATTTCATATAAATGTATTTATTTGGTTCAGATAAAATGAAATTTCTTTTTGTTTACGTAGTTTATACTTGTGATTCTTCCACCTATTGACGGCAGTCTGTCAATTCACTTAAATAGGATTCTAATTCAGCTTTAAAATTTCGTTTTACTTTTTTGATATATGCTTCATATTTGTTGTATTTTAGTCTTTGATATACCTAGTGCAAAAGAGAAAATTCCAAGCAAGCATACTTGAAGACTCATCTTTGAACTTACTAAAATATGCTTACTAATAAAGGAGATAAAATATTAGAATAATACATAACTTCTGAAAAACATAATCAGCAAGAGTATTGTCAACATAACACAGCTATACTTTCTCCGACAATCCTCATCTTGGTCGGTCTTATATATATGCACTGATATATCGAATAGCCAATCAGAAACACTTGCATATTGACTGTAAGAAAAATTAAAACTATTCTTACAATTGATACATAATTTTCTTTTAATTCAAGAAAACTTCAACTTTCCCTTCTGACTCACTTTCGTCTTTCACTCTCTTCCAATGATCTTTCTAACTAAATTGTGATTTCTGATTTGCTATTCCTCCTTCAAACTTGTCTTGTGGTTCCATCAGATATTACAAAATAAGTCATCTTATTCAGTCTTAGATAAATGCTTTAGTGAAAAAATCATCCAAATTACTTTTAATAATCTTTATTTCGAATTTTCCCTCATTAAGCGAATTTTGTACTGATTGAAATCTTACATCAAGTTTTATTTTTAAATTTTCACAATTATTTTTAGAATACTAAATTACAGATTAATCATCACAATACAAAGCAGGTTTTTCAATAGATATTATGTTTAACTCATTACATATGTTTGCAAACCATAAAAGTTCTTTTACTGAATTGGTTAATGTGAAAGCTCCAATTCCATGCTACTTAATGCAATAAATTTTTGTTTGCTACATTTCCAATTAAATGAAATACCGGCTAAGAATATTAAATAGCCTGATGTAGAAAATCTATTTGCTAAATATAACCCCAATTGGCATCTGAATAAGCTATCAAAGATGTGTTATGAGATGATTTTGTTAATGGATGATTTCTTTTACGGGTTTTGATGTTGCACTGTATCTGTCCTTGCAAGTATGATTTTTAAAAGTGACTGATTTTTTAAACCAGTGATTTTATTAGTGCCAGTCACTTCTATTATATTTTCCTAGATTCTGCTATTTGAGGAAATTAAATTGTGACTTAGAATCTTTGGCGATATAAAGTTATAATTAGCAATTCAAATTGATCATAATTAAAATTATTTTATTTATTGTGATGTGAATTTACATGTTTTTATTAAAATTAGAATGTGTATAATATTATAATTGCATTTTTTTTTCTACAGAGAACCACTGAAAATATCCTCAGATTGTTCCTTGATTATCACGGCTTATCATTGCTTTGGAGTTGGATGGTCGATTCAGATGAACCGAATTTTAAAAATAAAGTAAGTTATTTCTGTTTATAGGTTCTAGACAGATATTTTCCTTTTGTTTTGTATTCAGCAGTCGTTAATAAAAATATTTTAAATGTGCTGTGAGCAATAATAGTAATTTCCTTAAATACTTGAAAGCTTTACGGTGCTGTGATATACAATTAGAGTAGTGCAGTGGTTAACGTAATTGATAGTTATACAGAGATGCCAACTTGCTCCCGACAGCGAATAAATATTTTCGACTGGTAGTTTATTAATTGTGATGCTTGGTTTAATAAATTTAATTTATTCGGTTTTATCCACCACTATTTCTGAATAATTTGAAGGCTTATATAATTCGCCATTTTATTTAGTTAAGTCATGCTAAACCTCTTCAAAAGTAAGCAAAATTAGTCTAATATTTGCAAATGTTAGTTTATAAATATTTACTGTTTTTTAAAAAAAAATTATTTTGGCATGTCCGGAGCAGTTGGCATCTCTGGTAATAAAGTCAAACCTTGTCACAAAGGCGCAGAAATCTGTTAAGCAAAGAAATCTCATCTTTCTCCCTTCTAACTAGCTATTCTGAAACTTGAACTCAAAAGAACATAAACTCAAATCTGAAATGCTGTGAACAAAAATTTTTAGTGGTTCTAATGCAAGATGTTAAATACTTTATAAGGGCTAGTTCTAATTTTACCAAAATCTAGAATATTGATTCCAAATATTCAATTTAATTTTATAATGAAGTATAAAATTTCAGTGTCATATTTTTTAGTTTGGGACCTTTGTCTAAATGTTTTTTTATTTTATTTAATAGTAAATTCATGCATAACATTATTAATATTATATACCTATGAAGAATTAAGTAGTATGTACACCTTAAAATTTTGCTAATTTGAATTTCCTAAATGCTAACTGTATATGTCTTCTTTTGATTACTGAAAGCTAGTTTGGAAAGTTGGTGCCTTGGGCATAGTTACTCAATTAATGTGTAAAATTAATTGATGTGTAAAATTAAAATAAATCTAATAAATTATATTGAATTTAATTTATAAAACAGTTAAATTTAATGTATAAATCAATTGAATTAATGTGTCAAAATTAAAATTAATGCAATAAGTACGTTGAATTTAATATATGAAACAATTAAATTTGATGTATAAATCAATTAAATTAATATGTAAAATTAAAATGTGATTGTAAAATTAATATGCAATTCTGAAATTAATATGTAATTATAAAATAAATGTAATAAATTACTTTGAATTTAATGTATGAGTAACTTTTTTTATTAAAAGTCATTTTCAATTGTTTTCAAAGTATATTTTTATATATTCAATATTTTTTGTTGTTGAATATAAAGTATTATAGATAGTAAATTTCAATCCCTTATACACAATTACATTTAATTTTAGTGATTGATATATGAGTATATCATAGTATTGTATATTGCAACCATATAGTATGTAAGAATGGGAATGATTTTGTTTTGATATTATTTTATATGACTTTTAATTTCTTATGCTTTTACGATTTCATTGCTGTATTTTACAGCCAATATTATTTTCTCGTTTTTTAGTAATTTCATAGCTGTGTGCATTTTTTTTTTTTTAAATTGTTCCTCTGGATAACCAAGGAAGAGTCAGAAAGTTTTTTATCTAAGTTAAGGATAAACCCTGACCTATTTCTTTTAAGTATCTTTATACTATTTTTTAAAGAATATAAAAATAAGTACATAATGAAAAAAAAAGTTTTCCCCAAAACTAACTTTAAGAGTAAGCTGGAGAAAAGAGGAAATCTGTTTCAAGATGTCATTCTCAATTGCTCCAATCTTACATATTAACCTTCATATACAGATGCCTTCTAACTTTTATGCGTTTTACATCATATCTGTGAATGCTGGCTATCTTCCATTATTTATATTCTAGAGTATATGCACCATTAAACTATTATCATTTTCATTTCTTAATTTTTTATGTGCATCTTTCATTGTTTTTGTATAAGTTATTTTTTTCACTTCAGATATTACAGGTTTTGTCTTCACTTCCTGTGCCAAATAAAACAATGCTATTAGAAAGCAAAGTCTATAGCATTGTTGAACGATGGGCATCAGTGCATTGTAAATTATTGCCTTCCGAGGTAACGGAACAGTCATTTAACTGTGATAAAAAGTTTAAAAAATCCTGTGATACATCTGATAGTGATACCCCTATTACTTCAGAAAATGAGGAAAATAGTCTTATGAATGGTAATTCGGAAAATGCTTGTCGCTCTGATGAAGAAAGTAGAGATCTTCCTGAGGAAGTTAATCCAAAGAGTAGTAGTGAAATATCAGTCTTTGCTAATAAACTGCTTTCATCTTGGAAGGAACTAAAGGTATTTTACTTTTTTAAAAATTGATTACATATTTTCTTTTTACATACAGATAAAGTCTGTCACACTTTTATATTTCTTTCCAGCCTCAATATTTAATTGTGTTAAGTGATTTTAATATTTAAATCCATCTCTCAATCATATTAGTGGACATTTCCAGAAATAACATAATTTTTGCATCACTGTGTTATATGAGGAATTGTAAATGAATAGCTATTTAATTTTTTTAAATTGCTTGCTAGGATCTCTATGATGGCCAATACTTATATCTGTATTATTTAGATCTTAGTTTTATTGAGTGAAAAAACATGATTACTTTATAGTGATTATTTTTATAAGTTATTCATAATGGAAAAATAAAAGACTTAAAATGAAGCATGTTAAATCTCTTTTCAACTTTTAATAATGAAATATGGTTAAAACCAAATATGCTTTATGTTAAATGAAACCAAAAAAAAAGCCCTTTTTAATTTACATAAAATATTTTCTTTTTTCAAAAATATATCTTGTGTTGTTTCTATTGAAACATGCCAAGCCAACAAGCCCGCATGGAGAACCAAGCAAATTTTAAGGCAGTGGGTGTGTTTTTTTTCAGTGGCGCCATCTATGACCAAGAATACGAATTCACCTGCGCACAAGTCACTGCGTGTTCTATAGGGCAGACCCATTCATTCATCCACGTATTGCAGTTTTGACCTGAACCTGGGAATGATCAATCTCCAATTTAGTTCTCCCAAGGGTATTGATTTGTTATGGGAACTTGGAGGACTTTATGACTTTGACAGATTTAATCTGCACCAGTCAATATTTAATATACAGGGTTTCTTCGGCCGTCTTGATTTGAACTCCCGTTCTCATGAACATGAGTCCAACATCCTACCAACCAGGCTATCCCCGCTTAAAAATTATTTTAAAAGTACTATGTGCCTCAATCTTTTCCAAACCTTTTTTCGTTTACCACAAGCTCTTATCAAGTGGCTAAGTTAAAAAAAAAAAAAAAAAAAAAAAAAAAAAAAAAAAAAAAAAAAAAAAAAAAAAAAAAAAAACATACTTTTATCTGTAGTTCTGCATGTAAAAAAAGTTGGAAGACATGTCCTCCAATGTTTTTTTTCTTTTTTTTAAATTTTCCTACCAAAAATGATGTTGTATTTGGAAATACCCATATACTCTTTGGAAATGGGACATTCTACCATAATTTGGTTTTAAAGTTTTTTTTTATAATATTGTATTATAAAATTATTTAATATAAATTGTACAAATATGTGTCTCAACTAATTTTAAATATTACATTTCTTAACTTAGTTTTTGATGTGAAATGAATTTATTTTAAAATTTATTTTCTTAAGTTAAGTAAATATAGAATAATTTTTGATTACAGACGTGCCAACCCTCCGGCTTTTGGCCGGAGACTCCGGGTTTTTGCAAGTTATTTCCTCCTCCGGGATTTTCTCGAAAATCTCCGGTTTTTTCACTTATTTTAACGCAGGGAACGAAATTTTCATCCATGTCCGTCTCAACTGCGTCACCACTCAGGCCATGCCCAGTTCTGACGCAGTTCATAGCTGGGCGTGGCCTAAGTGGTGACGTTCATCGTATGTCTTGGCCAATCAAGAGCGCTATTTCGCCTTTCCTTTCTGCGTCTGCTGAATAACTGTTGAGTCAGGCTTCTCTTTGTGAATACTGCTTTGCGATTGGTTGCTTTTGGAAGCAAAGCGTTCGCTGTATGCGCTGAGAAATTATTTTCGGATCTCTTTCGTTGTACTGTGAAGTGAAGAGAAGTCAATATCATCAACTTCGAATCGGAGTTTGTTTTTATCCGCGAGCGTTGATTTTTCTGCCTTATATATTATGGCGGCAAAAAAAGTTAATAAGAAATACTTAACTTCTTTCAACCAAGCTTATTCGGAAGAATTTCCGGGAATCATTCCTTCTAAAAAAAGATTGAATTATGCCCTCTACACGTTTTGTTCAGTGGATTTTTCAATTATGCATAAAGGCAACATATCTGCTCATGTTTCGAGTCAGATTGTTGAGACTTAGAAAGGAAAAGACAAAGATTCTTTTTATTGCGATGTTAGGAAATATTTTGTTAAGGTTTGTGACTACATGCGACAAAAATTTCCTTATAATGATGAGGTCGTTATTAATGCAGAAGTTGCAAATCTAGACAATGTAGAAACTACATCTTTTTCCAGCATTAGATTTTTTATTAATAGATTTCCTCAATTGTTGCAAGTCTTAGGGGGGGATAAAGATTCAGTGTTGGACAGTTTGCAGTCCCAATTTAGCTCTCTGCAACTAGAATCTATTGATTGTGTCCAGTCTGAAGAGCGGATGGATTCTAAATGGGCAAAATTATCTGTTGTATTTAAAAATAAATATGCTGTGTTGTATAAATTTATGCTATCAATTTTGGCAATTCTCCATAGCAATGCTGAGTGTGAGCGCATTTTCAGTTTAGTAACCAAAGCTCACACACAGTTTAGATCTTCAATGTCAGTAAAAAACTTGGAGAACTTAATCACTGTGAAATCTAGAATTTCAGAACCCTGTTATCAGCAGCAGTTTGATGATGAATTTTTAAAAAGAGCTAAAACAGCCACTGTCAATCATAATAATAATTAAAATTTTATTTACTAGTTTTTATTTTATAATTCCTTAAAAATTTTGATCTTTGATTTGTAATATTTTTAATTAAAAATGAAGATTCTAATTTTTCATTTAAAGAAAGGTATTGATTTAGTTTCCAAAACATTTATTTATTACATTTTTTTAACAATAACAGATAGTTTAGCCCATTTATTTATTTTTAAATAAATGATCACTAGCTTGAATCAATTTATGGTTGATTAAATGAATTTCCTTCTTGTTACTATTTAACATATAGACATTAATATTGACAGTTGTTTAATTTTGATATGTAATTTTAACAATATGAATAACTATTTGAATTATTAATTATGTACTAAATAAAGTCTCCCATAAGACAAAAGTGTTGTTTTTATAACTTTTGTGTCTTATTTTGCATGTTTAACTGTTGCGTGACCATTTTTCTCTTCCTTACGGGAGCCTCCTCTTTTTTCATTTTCTCAGGTTGGCATGTCTGTGATTATAATGAGTATTTATAAATTCATATTTAGCATCATATCAAGGGAAATGTTACTAGACTAACAAAAAGTTTAGTGTAAACTCTTTTTCTTAACATGATCTTTAACTTAATTTAATCCTTTCACTGAAGCAGTAATTGTAACCTGAAGGAAAAAAATCTGTACATAAAAATGCTTTTTCGTCTGATAAATGTATTTGAAACTTTCAGGAGGATTTCAGAATACCTAGACGTGAACAGCCTAAATCTCATTTTAAAGGTCATTCACATAATAATAGTAGAAGGCAAAGAAGAATGTGCTGGTCGTGCCAGGACTCAGGTGAATCATTTTGCAAGCATTACTCTAGATGGAATCATTCTACAGAAAGGAACAGAGGTAATATCCTTGTATGATTCTGTTAAATTTTTAGATGAAACAAGACTTATTACATTAAGTTCAATTTCATTAGTAGTATTGAAAAGATTCCTTTTATCTTTTTACTATTTTATTGACTTCAATTTGTCCTCCAATCTTAAGATTGAAGCTCTCATTTATGTTGTATTTATTGGGTGGAAAACTAAAAGTTTTCTACAATCTTTAACCATTGTAACCACTTCTAACTAACGCTTTGTTGATCGGCAATTTTACACAGAAACTATGTCATGTCACCGGCTATTTTGCAATTGATTATAGAAGGAATATGAAAGTTCAAAATAAGCTCCAATAAATTTTATTTATACTTTAGGAAATGAAATGCAACTTTGCAGTGTTCTATACCACACTAACATAATTGTAATAATGATAGCTAGCGTAATGACGAGTTCATTCATCACTGGTGAAGGTAAACAAAGTGTTAATTAAGCTGTTGAATATTTCTTTTGTATTTTCCAAATATTTCAATAGTTTTTTGCTCTAACTTCAAACTATCGCTGTACAATAAATAAATAATAGTAAAACACTTATCTACAGAGTTAGATGGTGAGGCAGATAATCCACAAAAAACTAAAAGTGACATAAATCAAAATGCTTTGAACTGACTTTTATTTGCTGTGTTAGCCTATCTTTTATTACTTCACAAATAAATCTGTCTCCTTTTTGTTTTATATGTTAAGACACCCTTCTCTTTAATTAAACTGCAGCATAAATGACTACATTGTAAACAATTTGAAGTAAGAGAATTAGTGTAATGTCTATAAAAGACAGACAATTGTAATGATTGACATTTCCATTGTGAATTAGAAAAAGTCTTGAATACCCATTTATACAACACATAATTTTACACCCTTTAAAACAGTTTACTGCCATCAGAAGCTTGAGAAAAAGTCTTTTCTTGATCTTACTATTTTTCAAAGTCTCGAACTCTCATGCTGCTTTGATAGAAAGGAAATATTCTCATATTATTGAATCTGTTTCCTTAAGAGTCAGTTGCCTTATTTAATCATAGAAAAAAATTGCTACCAGTGTGGTATCATATTCCTTAAATCAAAAATTATGTAAATTGACACTGATAAAATTTTATTGTTCTTTTTCTATGGTTGGCAAAAATAAGCAGTCAAAATTAGGGCTTCTAGTTACATTTTAAAACCAATTCTAATTAATTAAATTTTAATTTTATGTAAGAGATTATTTTTCAGTATAAAAATACCAGTTCAATATACATTTTACTTAATTTAAGTTTTAATTTGGTAATCTTTTTTTCTAAACTAAATTTCGCCATTTTAGATTCTTGGAATAGTCGAAGCAGAAATAATTCCATTCATTGTGAAGATCACAATAGGAAGTAAGTACACTTATGCTTAAAATATTTGTTAATAACCTTTGTTACTGTACTAAATATAGCTTTTCTTATTGTGATCTTGCAATACCAAGGGCGATTCTTGCAGTATCATGATAAAATTCTTCTTCTGTAATTACTGTTTATCATAATCTGTATTAGCAGATTAAACTTAAAGAAACTGGCAAAACTTTAACCCACTGACGGTTCTTCACGTTTTGTTGAAAAACCTGGCAACACTCCCTGGAGAAGAAAGATAGTGTTTAAACTAAAATTTCTACATGTTTTAAATAAATGTGTTTATTCATTTTTCTTTTACATTGTAAATACTTTTGCAGTAAGTACATAATTTTTCAAATAAAATTTTTATCCTTATTGTAACTTTATTACTATTAATAATATTTCAAGTCATTATTTGATATTTTATGTTGACCACAAATCGTCATTTTTCTGTATCTATCATTCACAATGAATGGTCCCAAGAAAACATTCGATCACGGTTCTACTGTATACACTGAGTGGCCAAATTATTATGACCTCTTCAAGAGTTTTATGCAAGTGAGTTATTGCGTCACAGCGCTGCCGCTAGAGGGCAGATAACTATAACACGGGAATGCTGGACTAGTGAGTCATCAGTTATACTGTGTTGCTTGCTCAGATATGGGAAAGAAAAGTGATTTAACTGAATGATTGTGGGTACGAGATGTGTCGGAACGAGTATCAGCAGAACGGCTGCACTTGTGAAGTGCTAGAACAGCAGTTGTTAATGTGTACAAAGAATGGAAAATCAAGCAAAAAACCGGGTCTCAACGTCAGACTTGTGGTCGTCACAGGGTACTGAATGCTCGATCAGAGAGAAGGCTGGCCAGGGTTGTGCAGCTCAACAGGAGAGCAACAGTGTGACAAATTGCAAGTGATCTTAATCAAGGAGCAACTATGAACGGACTGTTCGGCGCACATAGCGCCGTATAGGGTATGGAAGCAGACGACCTGTTCGTAAGCCTCTACTGTCTGCTTTAAATAAGCACAGACGTCTCCAATTGGCTAAGGAGTACAAACATTGGACAGTAGATGACTGGAAGAGGATCATGTGGTCCGATGGATCACGATTTCAAATGAAAAACAGCACGAAAGCATGGACCCCAACTGCTTTGCCACGACACTTCAAGCTGGTGGTGGCAACGTTATGACATGGGGAATTTTCTCTTGGTATTGTATGGGTCCTTTAATTCCTGTACCACAACGCCTAAATGCCCAAGGGTATTTAAGTATCATCGCAGATCAAGTGCATCCGTTTATGTCAATGGTGTACTCTGGCGAGGATGGATACTTCCAGCAGGACAACGCTCCTTGTCATAAAGCTGGCATTGTCCTCAGATGGTTCGAAGAGCATGACGGAGAATTTAACTTGCTTCGTTGGCTGGCACAATCCCCAGATCTCAATCCAAGGTCTCAATCCCAGATCTCAATCACTCAGACAGATGGATCCAGTACCATCAAATTTGCAGGAATTGGCAAGTGCAGTTCAGCGAGCATGGTCTGGCATACCTTCTACCACCCACCAACATCTCATAGAATCCATGCCCAGACGAATTAAGGCAGTAATACGCGCAAAAGATGACCCAACAGCGTACTGAAGGGTTGGTCATAATTTGGCCGCTCAGTGTATATCAGTACATAATTTAATGCTATTTATATCTTATAATATTTGACATTAAACATTTGAATTTTATAGATGCATATGTATATATATATCAGGGCACTTATGGGTCAGGAAGACCTGGAATTTGTCAGAAGATTTTATTTTATCTCTAAAAAGCAGGGAAAGTTATAATTTTTTGCAAAAAACATGGAAAATTCCTGTATTTCATCTAGAAAATAACCAGTCTTAGAATTGTCAATAACAGTAATCAGTTATTGAGATTCTATTTAAATAATTCTAATAATTATTTTATAAAATTCCACCTTTTAGTGAAACTTTTCCATTCTCATTCTATTATATGTTTTTGTTCAGAAAATCATATAAAACAAATAAGTTTTCTGATGAAAAATAGCCTGATATAGATAAAATATGGTATGGATTTTAATTAAAATATATCTTATATACCCGGAAAAGTTAGGGAATTCTTTTTATCTGAAATTTTGTTTGAACCCTGATATACAGTGAAACCTCCTGATATGGACACTTCTGCGAAATGGATGCCTCTTAATACTATGGCACAATTTTAACTTCTCGGGAATCTTCTATGAATAAACCATTATGTAAATTCTCCCCAAAGCGGACACTCCCATAGGTGGACAGTCATCTTTGCCTTGAAACGTTAGTTTCTATCTCTTCAAACCTGATTCTATTTTTTCTAAATTTAAAGAAAAAATTTCTCTTTTAAATTGCAAGAAAAAAAGCAACTTTTCACTATTTTTAAAGCATATTAATTTTTTGCTTTAACTCAGTGGCGCGACAGCCCATAGAGGGCCAAGACCTACTGTGCCCATCTCAGTTTTCTTGACCTTTGGGGTGCAGGAGCAGATGTTCCGGTTAGGTGGTCAGCCGAACGCGAAACCCCCAGAAGACTGTATTTAACACATCTGGGGTAAAAAATAAAAGAACAGAAATATGATCTTTGAGGTGTTCATATAAATAAAACATTTATTCAGACACTTGATAGATGATTAATTGTGAATATATCAACTCCATAGGTCCTCATACCTTACAGGTAAGCATTAATTTCTTTTGTTTTGTGTGAATCACGAGAAGTTTACTTTCAAGGAAGTATTACCTACATTTCCTATCAAGTGATGGGTAGGTATTAGGGGTTGTAAACCTAATAATTAGAACCATCTGAGGACTAAAAGCTCCTATCATGTGACTAAATTGAATATCTGTGTTAATAGGAAAATTGTAATCATTTACCTGTAGCTACATCTAGAATTATGCATTTACAGACGTGCCAACTCTCCCGCATTTTGCGGGAGTCTCCCGAATTTTGAGTTATTCTCCCGCCCTCCGGAATTGATTTGAAAAACTCCCGAATTTTACTGCGATCGACGGCCAAACTCAAAATTACCTAATTTTTCCGCGAGTGCGAAGGTAAGTTTTTCTTTCAGCTTGAATTCCATCCCCTCTTATCAAACTACCATCTGCCTGAAGCGTAGCTGAACATGCTTTATTTTCCCCCCTCTTCAACGTTACCTCTAAAAACACTCCTATTTCACCCGCCCCCTTACACTGGGGGCGGGTGAAATCTTCCTCTTCTTTCGTGTGGAGTTGAATGCAATGACGTCACATGTCGTTATCGAGTGACGTCCGTTCAGGAGTGGGGAAACTCGTACTCTCGATAGTTGGAATTGATATTGTATCTTGCTGTTTTTATAGTTTTTAATGCGTATTTTTCCACGGTTGGCAACAAGCTCGTAAACTAGCAACGTGATATCAATTATTCGTTTAGTCTTCGTATATTTAAAAAAAAAAAATTTCAAGGATGTCTTAAGTCGAAACGGAAGTATGGATCAATTTCAACAAATCATGTACCAATGACTTTAGCAAGACTTAATTGCGGAGAGCTAAGTCTGCAACTCTTTTTTTCATGCATACAGTAGAGAACCATTTATCTGGTATCCAGATAATCCGGAAAAAAAATTTGCTCGGTTCTCCCGCCATTTTGAACTAAAACGATATGAAAAAAAAAGCGGAAACTGGACTAATCCTTGAAGTTGAGTAGAGGAAAATGTGAGGAAGGGAAGAATTTTTTTCCCCGTTTACCCAGAGAAACGTCATTTCTTCCGCGACCTTGAAGATTTTAGATCTTTATTCTCTTTTAGGTCGTTAAACTCAAAGGAGTGGCATGATGATTTCGTTTGCTAGTTTGATTTACGAGGGGGTGGGGAAAATGCATTGCACATGCATATCAGTGAACAGAAGATGAAAGAGAAAAATATATTTATCTATTTGACATCGATTAATAAAAATAAAATGTTTTTCTTTTGAATAAATTCTGATTCTTTGGAAGTGCGGTATCATTCGCAAGTTTTTCTTGATGTGGAATCACACCTGCTTTAATTAAAAATCGCGTTTTTATAAAAAAAAAAAAAAAGGAGAATTGTTTATTAATTTAAGCATACAATTATTTTATGAAGCAGATTGCAGTTTCGTTTTTCTGATTCCACTACGTTTTTTTTTTCTTTTTCATGATAAATTTTGCACTCAATAAAATTATTTGTATTACCAAATTTTTTCATTAGTTTTTTTTTTTTTTTAAGTCCGTTGATCTTGCCTTGTTCTAGGTTTTAATATTTATGCTAGTGCCGTTTTTTAACTATCGTTTCGGTTCGATAATTTTCAAGTGTTGTTTTTATTTAGATTAATAGGTTTTCCTTTTATTTTCGCCCCCCCCCCCATGAAATATATTGCGTTATTTAATCATTGGTTTTGTTTATTAGTTGATTTAGGAATCGTAATTATTTTTTAAACTTGTTTTTCTTGTCTAAACTTGCAAATTTTTTTATTCTTTTAAATTTTATTTTTCTACAATTTTTTTCCTTTTTAGATTTAGGAGTGCTTTTCTTTTTTCTCTTACTTTAAAATGTGTTTACATTTTTTCCTTGTAATTTGGGTTTGATAAAACATCGATTAACGACACTTTTTTGTCGATCCAGGAAACCGGGAAATTAAGACATCCGGGATAGCGATGGTCCCGAGCATCCCGGATAATTGGTTCTTTATTGTACAGACATTAGTATTGAATTGGTTTTTTAAAATAAAATACTTATTCAATTTGTTTATTTTTTAAAAGTTTTTGTGTATTTTTATTACAGTGTCGGGTTTTTGAATAATGTTTTATTAAGGAAATGGTATTTATTTAAAGAGTATCTACCTAATATAGTTTTGTGTTGCTAAATCTGTGTTTAATTATTTTATTTCCATTTAATATTTTTAAACAATTATTGCTCTATTAGTGTGTAAAATTTCTTGCATTCTTATATTTAATAAATTTTTTACTTAAAATTCCTTAGAAGTGCCAAATGTTGCATACCATGCACCTTTTTTTACCCCTCCTGAAATCTCCTGAATTCTTGTTAGGGAAACTCCTGAATGTTAATTTTGCTAGGTTGGCACGTCTGCATTTATATCAAAATTTTTCATTTATTCTTTTTGTATGGGAGTTTTTTTTTTTAAAGTTTAAATAAATATCCTTTCGGATAGTTATTGTAGATTATTTAATTATTTCTATGTCATTAAAAATATTCTAAAAACAATTCAGGTGATAAACTTCGTTATGAGGGTATCCTTCACGTAAACAGACAATTTTCGTAAAAGGACAATTTTTTTCAGTCCCAAGAGTGTTCGCTTAACCGAGGTTTCATTGTATATATTTGTGTGTGTGTGTGCATGCTTGCTTGCGTGTGTGAGAGAGAGAGAGAGAGAGATCTGGTCTTTTTTAAATCTAGTTTTGTATTTAAATCTATCAGTTTTAAATTAAGCAGTCTCTTATTATACTATTTTAAAATTACTTGGACCCAAATGAATTTTCAAATTTATATTAGAGTTTTACTGCTTTGTTTTATGTCCAGGTGCAGAATTAGAAATTCAAATGCTGTTACACTCTTTCTCAAATGTTAATTCAAATCTCAAATTTATTTCATTTGTTTATAATTTTCCTTTTCATAAATAGTATTTTTCTGTTTTAGAGTTTTGTTACCTACTCCTGAAGGACTGTCTGTAGAAAATCTCAAATACTCACCCATTGGTTCTCAAACTTTTACAAAAGAGGAAAGACGTGAAAGAGTTATTATACCAATCCATGAAAGTGGTACTATGGCTAATCACAAATACTCACCTAATAACTCTCAGTTTTCATCAAAGGAGGAAAGACGTGAAAGAGCCCTCTTACCCACTCCCGAAGTTGCACCTGTGGATAATCATAAGTACCCACCAAACTCCCATGTTTTGACCAAAGAAGAAAGACGAGAGCAATTTGCTCGCAGTGTCCAACTAGAGGAGCAAAAGAAAAAAGCTCTACTGGAGCAGCAATATGGAAATGGACTAATTATTGAAAACAATTGTAATAATTATAATTACAATGGCAATTCAGAATATAATTTAACAAATGATAATGGGAATTATGCTCTCAGTGTAAATTCAAACAATTATTCTTTTACCGAACTTCAGAATGGGCACACTTATAACTCTTATTATTATAGTACTGATGCATCACATCCAAATCAACCTCAATACTTGCCTAACTCAATTACAAACGATTCTGTAAATGTGAATATTACTTTGACACCTGAAAATGCAAATACTTACCAACAAGATGCTTTATACCAGACTTCCCATTCTCAGGTATATAGAAGTTCTAAAATATTTTGTTACAGTTTACTTTTTGTTTTAATATATTTTAATACATATAAAGTTTTTTAAAAAAAATTCTGTATAAACTTTTTATTTCTAATGATTCTCTGAAAAAATTTAGACTGAACCAAATTTTGATTGCATATATAAAGAAGACTAAGAACATGGTGATTATAAAACTATTTTTGTCATTTTCATGCCTATATTTCCCTTTCAAAACCTTATTCTTCCTTGCTTTTAATAAATTTTTGAGAAGTGACTCAAAGTAACAGAGATTTACATAACATAAGAGTGTAATATGAAGAGCATCTCATTGTTTCCAAATTAAAAAAAGGTTTCTGAGTTTTTAAACAGTCATAAAATATGGGTACTGTTATTTGTTATCAAGCTAAAATATTTTTTTTTAGACAGAATAAAAAGTTTGTGGTCAATTCCATAAAAATGTTCACCTGAGCTTCAAAATTTCAATGTTTACAAAATACTGAGTATTGTATATCATTTTAAAGTTTGTATAGTCTATTTTAATAGGTTACAGAGTTTTATTTTCTTCTCTTTTTTTATTATTTTGTAAACAGTAAACAACCATTTGGAAAAGTTTCCAATTAAAAAAAAGTATTAAATTTATTTTGTTAATAAGTGAAATTAAAATTTAGCATTCGTAGCACAGACCGCACCTACCTCGTCGTAGTAGCTTAATGTGGTAACTGCCTGACTTTGAAGATTTTTTCCATGTGTTTGATTCCATACTTCATATGTTTCAGAGTGCAATTTAATTAGTTATATTCATATCACAAATATTTATTATTTCAATTAACTTTGTTTTGTCTATTTTTATTCTTACAAGTTAGTTTAAGACAACTCCTCATTAATTTTAACCAATGCAGCATTACAAACAGATTATAGTATCTTTTTTGAAAGAATGAACATTGTATATTTTTTTTAAAAATAGGATGCAGCGCATCATCTATTGAGAATGTGAAGAAAAACTAGAATATTCTGTCCCATGCAATTGATTATATATCTCAGATATTTCAGAGTTTAGTTTACTTAATTTTTATTCAGTTTAATTTTTTTATTCTTAAAAGTTAGCCTAAAACAACTCAATTTTACTTTTACAAGTCTTGAAACGTGAGATATTATGTTATGTATATATTTTTTTCTTATGCATTAACCCTTTCGCTCTGATTGTCACATATACGTGCCAGCAAGAAACACATTCACTTCCCGGCCGACGCACCCGCGTGCCAGAGTGTTTTCTCGTTCACCTCCGGCCGTCACTCATTTGTGCCAGCATTTCGGAACGTTTTAAAAAATAAAATTTCTTCCAAAAGATGGCATTGTATGTCCATATGGTTTCAGATACATGTAGATTTGACCTTTTACTCAAGATGAGAGTACATTCACGTAGTTTTTAGGATGGCTCTTTAAATTCGCATGTGGCCAATTTGTTTACAGTAAGCAGGGGAAGTTGTTTTTTTTCGCTACTTTCGATTTTCGGTTTAGTTTTTAGTGGATAGTTAGATCTTGTAGATCCCTGTTTTAAAATTTTTCATACAAAAAAAGAACTTTTAAGTCATATATTTAGTTTTCAGATATGGAATGTTAAATGTTATTAAATAAGTGCATAATGAAAATAAAATGTGTAAAATATATATTTAAACAAGAAATAACTTAAGTAAATAAAATATCCATAGAAATATATATAAAGCATGTGTCATTTAAGTACTCTGCAGAACAATATTAAACAATGCATTGATATTTCGGTTATTTCATGGAATTAGGCTTAACAACAAAAAACCCTCCTGCCCTGGAGAGACACTGCCGGCCTCAGCACAAATAAATCTAACGCAAAAACATGCTCTGAAATATTTCTTATTTACAAAAAAAAAAAGAAAAAAGAAACTAAAATTATCAAGAGCTTTAGAATTATTTGCAAAAAAGATGTATCAATTTTGGTTTGTTTCCTGGTTTGTACCTCTTAGCAAATAATTTGCAGCTTGTAAATGCTTATGCAGCAGTGCATGTTTATTGTATGTACTGTTTCTTGCTCAGTTACAGAAATTTCTTCAATGCAATTCTAATTGTTTTTACCCACAAAGCTAGTGTAGATTATGAAGAATAGCAGTTTATAGAATAACATTATATAGATCTTCAACTGTAGTTGTTTATTTCACCTTTGATAGAACTGATTTCACAGTTTGCCAGTGAGGTTTTTTATTTTAGACATAGCTCAAAATGAATGTTTGAAAAAATGATCTAAGATCAAAAAGTGTGTAAAGAAAATAGACACAGCTCAAAACGCTCATTTAAAAAAATGGACACAGCTCAAAACGTTTGCTTAAAAAAATGGACACAGCTCAAAACGCTTGTTTAAAAAAATAGACACATCTTGAAATGCCTGCTTAAGGAAATCGGTGCAACTTCCCATGCATATTTTGAAAAATGAACACTACTATTTTAAAAAGTGGGCACAACTTACATTGTGTGCAGTGCACAGCTCAAAATGCATGTTTAAGAGAAGACATGGCTCAATATGCATGCTTAAGAAAATGAATATAGCTTAAAATTGTATTAACTATTTGAGAAAATGGACATCGCATATGGTTCTGTTTTTCAAATTGCTATCATGACTGTTATATTTTAAAAGAATTAACTAGAGATCCATATTAATTTGTAGGAATAAATCACTTGTTACAGTGTGCAAAATAAAAATCAGATCATCCTTTTAAATTTTGAACTTATGATCGAATTACGAACAACATGCAATCTTTATGGTTCAAGGGGATCATTTTAATATGCTAATTACTAACTGAAGACAAAATTTTAATTTGCGAAATCAGACACAGTATAATTTCTCTGAATAAACATATTTACCTGCTTTTTGACAAATTTAATTTTAAACCTAAAAGTATAAGAGAGGGCATAGTTCCAATCTAGAAAATATGCTTATAGTATTTTTTTTTTTTTAAAGTTTTTCACCATATCTATGGAACAATATCAGTTAAGGAAAAAAAAATCTACAGAATTGTAAGACCCTTTAATTAAAACATAATTTTATGCTAAATATAATTTTTTAACATTATTTATTATTTTCCTAATTTTTTTTTTTAAGTAATGATTGAAAAAAAATGGAATTTTAAAGAATGAATAAAAGAAAGAAATGTTTACATAATTTTGGATTACAAGAACTAAACTTTGACCAGAATTGGTAAAATAATTTCCAAATTTGTGAACAAATAATTTCAAACGCAATTGAAAAAAATCATATTTTTTAATTTTCATTTCTCAGAAGCTCGATTGTGTGGAAGGAAAAATTTATTCGGTTATATCAGCATGAAATTTAAGTTTTAAAGCTACTAGCCAGAAAGTGTTAACAGCTCTGAATGTCTTCATAGGTATTGTAAAACAATAAGTTATTTAAAAAAGGTCAATATATGAATACTGAAACAAAACAAAATTATTTTGCTCATTATGTTCATACTGGAGTTGTATTCACATGTAAAAAAATTTTAAGAATGATGAATTATAGAAATCTGCAAAATTTTGCAGTAACTGCAACAGGAGAGTATGAGCCTAAAAGGAAGGTGATGATATACTTAGATTTTTTTAATGAGGGGATAGGTGAAGGAATATTGTGCAAAAGTTTTTTTTTGCTATAAAAATGTTCTTTACATTTTAATTTGATTATTGAATTTGTTCTATTTGTTTACTATAGCTATGTATAAAAGCAACTTCTGTTTTTTTTTATTGCTGTAAATAGGCAAAAACTTATTCTAGTGTTGAATCTTCTAATAACTCTTGATATGTATTTCAAATAATTTCTTCAGTATGATGTATTTGTTGTTTTTCTATAAATTAAATAATTTTCAAAACATTTCTTTAGGTGCCTTTTGTTGGTACGCCTTTGCCGGTAATATCACATCAAGCCTCTGTTATGTTACCTGATAGTAATCATTTAACTGCACCTATAACTGGAATTGGAACTTTAAATTCATCACCTCATGTGCCTGCTTCATTACCGGTTTTAAATCAAGAAATTACTGCACCATCCAATACAGTTATACATCCATCATTATATTCATCAGAGCAAATTCCTGGTCAAGAAAACTATTCAACATCATTTTCTACACATTACCATGAACATTATCCTGTGTCTGAGCATAACAATATTCTTTATTCACAGTCTCAATATCCACAAGTGCTTCCCGCGCAGGTATACATGCTCTTTGCTATTAAAATTTTTTCACTCATTAGTTGCAATACTTTAAAGTTGATGATCTTTAAAACGAAAAACTATTAAACATCTCTACCGATTATAGTTATAATGGTTAGATTGCTTTTAGAAAAAATAATACCTAATTATAAATTAAAAGTATTTTCTTTAATTTCTCCAATGCTTTGCAAAGCATATAGTTATGGTTTTGTTTTTTATATGTTCAGGCAACTAAATCAAAAGTGTCATATGCAAATTTTGTAATTCTCTTAGGTTATAACATAATTTTATTCCCATAGATTAAAAATAGCAAAATGATCTTTGATTAGCAAGGTTCCTGAAAAAAGTCTAGGGATTTAAAATTAGCTTTTGTTTAATATAGAGAAATTCAAAATTTAGATGCCCAGTGGCGGAGTGGTCGCACTTCCGTGCCACTGGTCCTGGGTTGAATCCTCTGGTCGGGCAAGGTTGACTCAGCCTTTCATCCCTTCAGTGGGTCGATAAATGAGTACCAAGCATTCTTGGGAACTAAACACTGGGGGTTCCAAGTTCGGCTGACCACCTGACTGGAACATCTGCTCCTGCACCCCAGAGCCCAAGGTAAAAAAAACTGAGATGGGCACAGTAGACCTTTGCCCTCTATGGGCTGTCGTGCCACTGAGTGTAGTTTAATTCAAAAAAGTTGTTTGAAGAGTTTTATTTATTTTTTGAACTTCAGGATTTTTTATTTTTATTTTGTTAACACCCGACTTCTGTCCTATGAAAAGTTAACATTCACTGATGCTTGGTGAATGTAAAGTGCAGTCGAATGACACTTCTCAAATAAAGGTAACCCCTGATGGTTGACTTTTAATCTAATAAATATCGCTACTTAAAAACTAACTTATCAATCAAGGAAAGAGTGCAGAACCTGCGTCCCGCAGGCCTCACATGACCCGCTGACTGTAGATATATGTCCCGTGGAAGCTTTTAAACACAAGTAAAAAATTATTACTTTTTTTTATAAAAAAAATAAAAAAAATTGTCAAAACCTTTAAATTACATATTTGAGTCTTCTCTTTTTGACAAGCTCAATTTGTTGTTGTAGTTTTATGTCACACTAATGCGGCAAAATGGGCTATTAGCAATTGAATTTGCACTAATTCTTTTGTAAATCTATGTTTCTTGATCACTTTTTCTGTGGTTATTATTACAGAATTCCACATGGTTTTTAAAAACCTAATATATGATATTAAAATTTTAGTAATCACTTTTAGACTAGCTTTATTTTTACCAATTTCATCATAAATCCAAGTGACGTTTTGATTGTTTTTTTTTTTTTTGTTTTTTTGGCAAATTTAGTTATTAATTTCCATATAGTTTTTAAAATTTTAATATGTTTAATACAATATTTTGACTTGTGAGTTATGAATCGGGCAAGTAATTAATCACTTTTTTACATATTTTATTTGTGCAATTTCGTACATTCCAAGTTATTTTTTGGCAGTTATTTAGTTTTGAAAATCTTGATATTTTAAAAACAATATTACTATGAATAATCTCGAAGTTGAATCACTCATTTAAAATAATCAGTTTTTGATGTGCTTTCTTAGTGTTAATTTTATCGTAAAATTAATTAATATAGTAAGTAATCAGGCAGTTATTTCTACGTTTTTCCATGTGAGTTTGGAAATCTTGCATTTTCACTACAATATTATTACAGTACGCAAGTTTCTAATCACACATTAAAATAATCACTTTTAAAGCATTTTATTTGTTCCGATTTCATAAGAAATCCTAGTTATTTTTTAACCAATCTTTTTCGTCAGTTATTGCTGTGCATTCTCATCTGAATTTAAAAAGTCTGATATTTTTATTACGTCATGCAAATTTTAAATAATTACTTACTGATGCACGTTATTCATGCTGATTTCATCATAAACTTAAGTGATTTTTTTAAATAGTTTCTTAATTTTTCCACTTTATTTTAACGATCCCATTATTTTAACTACTATGTTATATCACATGCGAGTAATTATTTACTTATTTAATATTCCTTTTTTGATACAATTTATTTGCGCACATTACATCTAAAAACCAAAGTTATATTTCCATTGTTTTTTAGATAGTTACACCATGCTTTTTCATGAAATATTTAGAATCCTGATATTGCATCATGAAAAATTAAAAAAGTGGAGGAAAACGCTGATTTTTAAGCTGTTCACTGTTTTAAATTTTTTGTTACTTAAGTGATTTTTTTAAGATAAGAAAGTTTACATAAAGCCTGCTCATAAAACCTCTAATAAATCAACAAATAAATATATATTTAAAATATATTACCAAGGAAATATTGAATTTTATTTTGTACTATAACGATTTTGTTTTAACACTCTAAAGTTTCATCAATTAAGATGTTTTATTTGAATTTATATTACTCATTGAAATATGAATGATAAATTTTTTATATATATACTTTCATTCTTTCTTGAAAAATAGAATTTTTTTTTCTAGAATTCATTTTAAAATTAACTGTAGTATTGCATGATATAATGGAAAACAAACCCATTTCTTTCTTCCAATAATCATAATTTTTTAATAAATATATTTTTGATAAATAGGGAAAAAATTTTAAAAGATCAGTTTTTTCATTATTGAATGAATTATAATAATCAAAAGTATTTAATTTTATGCAAATAAGTTAACTGATAAATAATTTAGTGCTTGAAACACTAATGCTTACATAAAAATTACGTTATTTGCCATATACATGTGTAAATACACATGTAGCCCTTCGTTAGTTAACCTACTGTGCTAGTGGCCCTTCTCTCAAAAAGGTTGTACACCCCTAAATTGGGTGTCTCAATGGTTTTAATTTCGTTGAGGAAGCTTCAATGTACAATTTTGATTGACTTTTTCTAACTGAATTAAAATTTAACTTGGGAATCTCATTTCTTTACAGGAGTTAAACATTAGCACTAGCATTATTTAAACGCAAAACATTTGTGAAATAGTGTAAAGAACTTTTATAATTTAATTTTCTTTTGAGCTAAAATTGAAGAAAAAAACATGGTATACTACATGATAAAAGTCAAACAAATCATGTTACTGACTTGGAACTACTTTTAATAAGCAGTCAAATATGCTCTTTTTAAAACCAGTCAAGCTCAAAAAAAGTAAATAGTGAAAAGTATTTTTTAATCTTCAAAAAAAAAAATTTATATATTTTTTGGACTCAACGAAAAATCTTTTTACCAATATTCAAGTGCTAGTATGAGTTTAAGCAGAATGCTATTCTCAAACCAACTACCCAGTTTTAACTTAATATACTTATTAGAAGTCGAGAAATCTTTTGTGCATGGTGAAAAAAATTTGAATTTAAAAAAGCTGATTTAAAGACAAAACTTTGAATAAATAACTTTAATCAAAATGTGAGTTAACAAATAATTCCATTTTAAAAAATAGTTGTTATTTTTTGTTTTCATGAATAGGCTTCCGTATTTTGTTGTAATTTTTTTTAGCATTCTCATATGCTTGGTATCAAATTACTCTGAGTAAAAATAGGTCATAACATATAATTTTATCAGGAAATTGCAATTTTGGTTGGGACTAGACCCTCTAGACTTCTTGAGGGTTGAAATGTTACTATGGTGAAAAATAATTTTAATTGAGTTTAGAAGAAAATTAGATTAACAATTATGAACAGGAAGAACTAAAAATTAAAAAAATGAGACTGCATTAAATTTTTAATTTCTGTTGAAATGTGATGCAGCAACATCACATTTCAACATAATTAACCAACACAATCATTTCAACATAGCATAACTTATTAATTTATGCAGATGATATTTTAAATTACCAAAGCACTAAAACATAGTTTATCTGACTTAATATACATTTTTTCATAGTTTAAGATTTTCCATCCTAAAATTGTGATTAGATCAAACTTATTTCGGTGTTTTTTTTTTTTTTTACACATTATATATACTTTAAAGTATCAGACTTTTCTAAAAGTTTAAATAATATAGTATCATATTTAATGTGAATAAAACCTCTATGAAGATTGTGTAAAATGGACAGGAATTTAAAAGGAGCTTGCTATTAAAGTTATAAACTTTCTAATACATTTTCAGGTTGTTATTGACCCAACACAGTCATATTTAGAAGTTAATGGTGAAGCAAAATCAATAGTTCCTACAACTCTTCCTCCAAACTGGAAAACTGCCACTGACTCTGAAGGAAATGTTTATTATTATCATGTATTAACAAGGTAAAATTTTTGGAGAAGATTTTAATGCATAAATTTTATTATATAAAATAACTTAATATAAAAACTGCTTTTAAATTACTATGAAAATGTGTAATTTGTAAAAATGCCTTATCTTTCTATATGCTACCTTTTTGTACTTGGTAATATAATTAAACATAAAAGGTTTTTTTATTAAGTTTTTATCCTTAAATTAATGAAAAATATCTAAAATTGTTTGGCATTCAACCTTCACCAAAAAAGATAAATAAATAAATTGCATGAAATCAGAAAGAACAGTAGTTTTTTCATATCCAAAGGATTTAATATGAACAGGCTTTAATAAGTAAAGATCACTGCCCCATGAAAAAAGAACAAAATAAAACAAAAGGAAAACGTTATCGAAATACAACAAGTGTGATAATCGAAGTCCATGAACCTAAAATGTCCCTTGAGTGCTAGTAATGATTGCACAAAAGGTTTCCTTTTGTATGACTAACTTGCAGGTCGACCAATGTGCAAACTTTAGTGCAGGCAAATGAGATTTATACCCATCTTCTCTCAGAGATGTAAGATCTTATACAATATTAATTTTATAATTAAATTGCAAAAATGAATGTTTTATGTACATTTAGTGTTAAATTCAATTGGAGCAAGCAACATAATATTTACATTTTGCTATTTACATACTGTTGCCAACAAAAGCAGTTGTATCTTTACCAGTTGGAAAAAGGGGAACAGATGCCTATGTACTGTGTCTTCTTTGGAACTTGCAGTATCAGTTTCCTTGAAGAGGGAGCCATTTGTATAAATGTGTATCCAATCAGGTTCAGGATATATTTTATTTAACCTTTCTACAATGAATGCCTTCAAAATAGAAATATTATCCATCTTTTTACTAGCCACATGTATCAATTCAGTGTGGGTTCATGAAAACAATTGTAATTTGCATAAGTGAATAATTAGTGGAAAATTATGTATCTTGCATCGCCAGAACTTCAGCCAGTCCGTAAAATAGATTTTTCCATGTAATAGGTATTTGAGGTAAACATGGATCAAAATGTGTGTTATTCAATAAAAAATAAACAATAATTTCTTATGCAATAATGTTTTGTTTATGGTTAAATGACATTTAATGGAAATTTAATTAATTAAAGTATGTTTAATGTGATGAAAAAAATTTCTCTGGTGTAATATAACAAGAATGTAAAAACTAGCAGACAATAAGTGGAACTTTTTCTTTCATGTATAAAGACAAGTGTTTTTATTTTTTTAACCCATTGGCAAGATGGGTGTTGTTTTGGGTTTGATGGCGTGCGCACCTTATTTGGACATCCTCACACTTTTCAACTTTGTTCAAGAGTAATAGTAAACAGTGCACATGCATCATCATCATTGCTATGGCAACCGCTGCTGTTTGATAATTTTTTTAGAATTCTTTTTTTCACTTTTAATTTTGGTATGCATTAAGTTGGTGAGTTTATTTTTGAGATATGGGACCAGAGAGATCCCATGAATATTTCTTAAGTTAGGAATAAAAGAGAATTTCATCATTTGAATGATATTTTTTTAGTGCAAAAAATTTGAATAGTGCAGTTTTTTCCATCAAAATAACATTAAAAAACAAGCTTTGTAGTTTAAAAGTAAATAAACCCTTTTTAATAAAATAATAATAGAGAAGCAGAATTGAGTAGATTTTTTAAAGAAAACAGTTTCATACTTAATCTCACAGTCTGTATGCGTTAAGAGAAATTGATTTATTTTGGAAAATGAAAAGAGATTTGGGTGCTTTGGATTCTTAAAAGTTTTTTCAAAATAGACATTTCTGGAAAACAGAGGTTCCAATATGAAACTTCTTGCTGTGTATGCGTATTTCTATATGGGTTTGATTTTTTGCTTTCAGTATGAAAGTGCAAACATTATTAATTTTCATTATTAATTTTAATTGTAAAATTTTTAAGATACCTTGATTTTATTGTCTTGTATTTTATTGTTCTTTACTTTATATTTTATTGTCTATTGGAAAACATGGTTTTATTTATTTAGTGATAAAAAAAGGTTTTTTTTTTTAGATTTATGTATTTATATATATATATATATGTATATATATATATGTNACAAATATATATATATATATATATATGTATGTATGTATTTATGTATATAAATATAGATTTATATGTATGTATTTTTTTAATTTTATTTATTTACTTTTACAGGCAAACCCAGTGGGATCCTCCAGAGAGGGAAATGCTCGATACTGTTGATGATCCTGATGAAGACACACCTACATATGATGAACCTAAAGTATTTATGCTGTTATAATTTTCTTTATGGAAAATGGTCTTAAATTTTTAAAAAAATATATTATGGTTTGCATTACTGACCATAATATTATTTGCTTTTGATGTCACGGTTTCCACCGGTGAGGGAGGAAACAGTAATCAGTTGTTAAGACTCAAGTTTCAGTTGTTTAGATTTTAACATTTGTTGCAACTATTCCTTGAAAAAGTTCCACATTTCCATGGAAGTTTTACAGGATTATCTTAATTTATAGATATTTTATTGCTCACTACAACTAATATTTAAGATATCAAATATGAAAAATTTTGTTTTCCTGATAAAATAAAATATTCCATTCTATTGATAAAATATGGTAAGAATTGTGTAACAGTTTTCTTGAAAAACCTGGAAAAATCATAAAAATGAGTCGTGGAAATTCTGAAATGAAGTGGGAACCCTGAAAATGTTCTCACACTTACTATAGGTGCTTGAAGCTTTGTTTCTAATCATAATCAAAGACATGAAATTATGTTGAATATTATAAGAATTAATTTGAGATCATGAGAATAGAAGTTTTGCAATTAAAAAATTTAGAAACAAAAAAAAAATTTTCTTTTGAAAATAAAGAATGCATACATTAAATTACTAATTTGAAAAAAAGTGTTATTTTTTAATTTACTTGATATTTGTATTCAAAACAACTAGAATCTAAATTATGATGGACTTAAAAATTTTATTTTCTGTTATAATAACTTACATTAATGTTCATCAGAATTCTGTCCAAAAATATTCAAATTATGTCCTACTGAGGGAACTAGAATTAGATGAAACTTTCTCAGTTTATTAAATAATAATTTTTAAATTATTTATTGTTTTTACCCAAAACATTAATTAATTTATCTCACTATTCAATTAATATTGTTGAAACTGGTTAAAATTATTTATGCTATGTTAAAATTAAAAATTGGATTGATTGATTTGTGTGTGATTGAATTTTCACTTACTTAGATTCAATCTTATTGGTAGCATTGTAATTAAATTAGAATGTGTAACTAGTGTAAGCTGCGGTGGCTAAGAAGATCGAGCATTTGCTTCTTAATGAGGTGACCCTGGTTCATATCCCAGTCATGGCTGGTAGATACAAATTCTGCTCCCAACTCACACGAACTACAGTGATAACATTAAATATCCTCAGTGCTAGGCAGATCATGAGTTAGAAGCCCCTTGCTGTCAGGCTAACTATGAGAGGTTTTCCTCTCTTTATAATACAAATGCGAGTTAGTTCCATCAAAAAGTGCTCCGTGGCGAGTTTGTCCCAATGCTTGATACAGGAGTTCCCTTGTCTTCTAGGTTGGGTTTAAAATTACAAGGATCTTGAACATTGAAATCATAAACTCAGACTTGTGTCGGCTGTTCAACATACGTTATTAAATAAACTAAAATTGATTAGTGCAGATATTTTGATTTACAAGATCTAACGCAAAATCATACTTTTTTTGAATGCACACATACTTTTTTAGGTGGACTCTATTTCATTTCTTGACTCTCATTCGTTTGATTGATTTGGAATCTTGATCCTCAAAATATGGGGAGTAGCCATAATCTGGAAAAATGTCCCAATAGTTTAGCCAGGATTGTTGTCAAAACTTTTGGCTCCTTAATGATAATTTCACTTGCGTATTTTGCCTTATCTTTAGAACTAATGGTTTTTTCAATAACCCTTTAATTTTCATATATATATTTTTTTATATTGTTAACATCCTTTATGTTTGTATTAAACAAATTGAAATCTGTTTATGAAAATGTTAACTGTTGAATGTAAATTAAATGTTTCATTTTTCTTTTTAATATCATTTCACAAAACACTTATTTATTTATTACTTCAAATGAAATATCTTCATAACTTCAAAAAAGTATTGCTCAAATATAGCATTTTATTTTTTGTAGATAAAAATATATAATAGTTATTGGTTGATATACATTACAACATAACCTATATTACATTTTTCAAATTTAATTTGAGTTTTATTATTATGAATGCAAACAATTTTCTTGTTTTTATATTATTTATACTAACATGTATTTATTCACATTTTGGCATGTGTTTTTGTGATTAATTTCTTATTGATCCATCAAATTTTGTTCTCATTATATTTGTTATTTTATGATTTTACTTAAAGTGCTATAGTAATGTATTTTAATTTATTTTGGTATTTATATTTCAGTATTTATTCCAATGCATGTTCATATTTTTCCCCTTGTTACAGATGGTTTCCCTCTTTATAAATTTACTGAGTTTTTTTTTTTTTTTTTTTTAGTTGTACCGTATTTGGTGAAACTTATATTCAAAATTGCATATATGTTAGCCATAATCTGTAATGAACTCTTACTATAGAACAAAAATTATATCAGGTTTAAATATTGTTTTCATAAGTAACTGTTTAACTCATCTTATTTTACCTATTTAAAAGTCTTTTTTTTTATTAATTTCATAATTCGTGATTAGGATTAAATATTAAATGATTGATAGTGCATTCAATCAAAGATATTTTTAATATGAATTTAGGATTTTTTCTACATAACAAGCTAGGATCAGGCATCATAAATGGTGCTAATTAGCACCCAATGGCAGAAAATAATGCTTTTTTCTGCATGCTTAATCTGCTTTCGTGCCATCTTAACCATTACATCATTTAAGATTATTTTTCGTGACTTTCAACCCTGTCAGTAAAAAATAAGTATATTTTATTCAGTTTTTTTGTTTAAAAAAATTAAGCGGGACAATTCAAAATTTAACATTATTTATTTGGTTCAGCAAAATGGTATCAACAAAAATGTAAAGCTGTTTTAAATAAGAATTTTAAAAAATTGCAATTGCTTATTAAGAAAGTATGTGTGAAAAATGCATAAAAAACCTATATAAAGTTCCTTGTGGTATTGCTGCCGGCCCATTTATACTATACCTAACTGATATCTAAATGCTAAAGTGTTATTTATTTTAACTTTAATATCATTATAAAACCTTTTTAGAATCCATTTTTAACATCTAAAAACACAATAAGTAATGTAACTATTTGGAATAAAAATTTACTGTACGCTTTAAAGGAATCCAATACTAAGTCTTATTATCTGTACAATATAAAACTTACTTAAGCTTATTAAAAATGCTAATAATTGATTAGTTTGTTTGTACAGAGGGGAACCATCTGTGACTAGTGTTTTCTTCTGTTTCCTTTTTTTTTAATTATTATTTTATTAATTCTTATGTATACTTTTAGGAACATAAACAAACTCTAAGAAAAAAATCTCATAAAAAGGTAAAAAATAAAAGTAAGAGTTCCACCAGAATTTTCCATTGAGGTAAAAAAAAAAAGCATTTGCTGAAAAGTATTTACATATTTCTCTGGAAAAAAAATGTGTTTGAAAGCTAATGCGTTTTCTGAAAATTTGCCACTTTCTAAATCTTTGCCTCTTATTTCTATTATCATAATGAAATAGAATGCCTATAAAGTATTTGCAATTTTATGCTCTGTGAAAAAATATTAAGTTAGTGTTTACTAAATGTTTCATTTGTCGAAAAGAAAAATGCCTTGAATGGAAAGTTCTGAGACAAATTTTGTCTGAAAACATTTATTATGGTTTTTTATGTTTTAGTCTTTAAGAAATGTTTGGTGTATTCTTTTTTTCTTTGTCATTCATTCAAAATTTTTGATTTATTATTTTAGTTATTGGTAAGGTAAATAAAAACTTGAAGATTAATTTTTTCTCTCTGTTAAGATAACCGGATTATTTAGTTAATAACTACTACTTAAAAAGTTAGTTGTTTCCGGAAAACCAAAAGATATTTTTAATATATTTATTATTAAGGAAATATAATTATGTACACATTTAATAACATATCTCTTGACATTTAAATAAATTTTTTTTTTAAATACTAAAAGAAACTCTTAATATTTTATGTATGTATTACGGTCAATGTAACTAATCAGTTATTATTAATAATAACCAAGTATGGTAGTTCTAGTGATTAATATTTGATAATTTATTACATTTACTGGTTATTATTAACTACCAATGAAGTTAAGTTCAATGTGATAATTTTCAACACATTTAAGTAGAGATCTCCTATATTTAATGGTATTTTCAAGGCAAATACCTAGGAAATGTCAATTACTTGTTTACTTTGGACACATCAGCGTAGAGTATATCAAACAAATATGTACCTGTTGTTAGCACTTAAGCTTAACAAAGCATCAGTGTAGGGTATACCAGGCAGTAGCACTTAACCTTAAGAAACATCATTACCAGCCAGTGGCATTTACTGTAAAAAAACATCTGTGTAAAGTAAAACAGCAATGGCACTCATTTCCTTTAAATCATCCGATTATTAATAATAACTGTATTGCATTACCTAATATTTTCATTAATCTTTTATAGCACTATTAAAATTAATGAACTCAAGATATCAAAAATTATCATTCATCAATATATGATTGAACTTTTAACCCTTTGGCGGTTATGAACGAGTTCAACTCGCAGTCGAATCGTGCTTCATAATGCACGCAAACGAGTTCCGCTCGGGAGCAAGATTTCGACCGTAATGGTTAGTAACGAGCACTACTCGCATAGTGAAATTTTTCCCCAATGCGCGCTGACGAGCTGAGCTCGTTCGCCATTATTATTCTGCATTGACTATGTAAAAAACTAAAAGTACGCAAAAACTGTTATTTATGTACTACGAATACTTTAAGAAATTTTTAAAACCCGTGAGGCGAGCTATCTATCACAGCCAGAGATGCCAACTTGCTCCGCTTTGTAAAGCATTTTTCCTTTTAAGTATTTTTTTCACCACTAAATATCAAAAACTATAAGTATCATATGAAATGCAACATTAAAGCAACAGTCTTCTGATTTCTCTATTAAAAAGTAGGCGTAACTGTCCTTCTCCAACGAAATTTACTACATAATTTGCTATTACTTTATTATAACAATTCCAGAATGCGGAGCAGTTGACATTTAGCCAGAGAAGGGTGACATTTTCGGAAGCACGGCGGTGGAAAACAGCTGCCACTTTCGACTACTGTTTGCTTGTAATACTGCGCGAATTTATGAAACAAAAACTGCTCATTTCCCTGACCGTCAAAGGGTTAAAGCTATTGTTTCAAACTAAAATAAAAGAAAAAATTTGTATTTCTTATAGTCCTTAAATTTTTTTAACTCTACTAATCTCTACAGTACCTGATTTATTGTTACAGCACCTAGACTCATAAAAATTAACTTAATGTTGAAGTTACAGTAAGTTATGTCTAATTAATCACACTGATAAAACTTCATTTGTACTTAATAGTAACCAGTTAATGTAATAAATGTGCATAGTTTATCACATTTAGCAAAAAACTTAATTATTAAAAATAACCAGATTTATTACTTTAATCGTATTCTATATATTAATTAATATTTCTGAAATTTTATTAAAAAATTTAAGTTTTAAAAAATATAAATTAGAAAAATGTCAGATTTTTAACTATTCCAGGTAAAATTCCATGAACATTACTTTTCTTTGTCATAGCCTTAAAAGCACTTGTAACTTAAGTAGAAAACGTGAGTTTTTTTTTCTTTAAATGTTGTAACTATCTAATAAATGTTTATGTAGAAGTTCCAAAAAATCTCTTAACTGTGTGATATCTTTGTTATTAGTGCAATTTCAGTAATAAAAACAACGCAATGAAATATTCTTGTAAAATGACTCATCAGCCTTTTAACGGAATATTATGTTTGAAAGTTTAACTGATCTTTCCTATTAAATTTGTTTATTATTTGAATAAATTAGCTAATACCCACAAATAGCTGTCGTGGAAATAAACTATGTATTTTAGTTATTTTTTTGAAAAAGACGAAAGTTTTAAAAAATATAAATTAGGAAAATGTCATATTTTTTACAATGAAAGTAAAATTTGTATTCATGTAAGATATTCTATTATTAATAATTTGTTTCAAACTTTGTTCTGAAATTTTAATTGTAAATCTAACATCAAGTCATTAACACAATTATTGTTTTGCAATTTGTTTCCTTAGCACCCGAAGAAAAGAAGTACGACTACTGCTGCAGCCGATACTAGTAGTGTTCAAGTTACTCATGAAGTGGCAAAGAAAATTAAAGAGCTTTTCCGCACCAAAATGTCCACATATGTAGTTTCAATTTTAAATCCTTATCATAGGGATGATTGTAGAGTTGGAAAAATTACTAGCAATGAAGATTTTAAGCATTTAGCTAGAAAAGTAATTAAATTTATTGTTTTGAAATTAATTTTATTTTTCTGATTTCAGAATTTTTTTTATTTTGATTGTCTTATAAAACATATATTATGTCAAATATTATAAATTTTAGTTATTAAAATGTCTTTAAGAGCTCAAAGCATCATCAGAAGTAAAAAATATATTGAGTTATCAGTATTGAGTCGAATTCTATCAGTGTAAGGCAATGATATCATCTATTTTAATACAGGATCTTAGTCATCTTAATGTTCAATCTAAACTCAATCTTAATGGTTCAAAGAGATGACCTCAAATATTCAAATTAATTAGTGCAGGTGATATTTTAAGTTATGAAGTCAGACGCAAAAACGTACTTTCTCAGACTTAACATGCCTTTTTTTTCCGACGGATTAAGATTTCTGACCCCCAAAAATATATCAGGAGTAGCCACAATCTTGGAAATATGGTCCCTATAGTTTAGTCAAGAAGGCAATCTAAAGACTGGACCCCTTAATATTAATTTTACTTTTGTGCATTTTGCCAATCTCTAGATTTTCATAAGTGAATTGAAAAATTTGACACAAATATGTAATTCATTTAGCCAAAGATAATTCCATGCAAAAAATAACTTTTAGTGAGTATTAACTATTTTTAATTATTTTATCTAATATTAGTCGAAAAAATTTTGATTTGTTGGGTATACAACTTTTTGCATTATTTAAAAGAATTTAATTTTACATGGCAAAATACCAAATTTGAGCGAAATTGGTTTAATACTTCCTTTGAAAAGGAACTTTAAATGTTGGACTTTTTTAAAATTTGATTTCTCATAAATTACTCAACCGAGTTTGTTCAAATTTTGCATTTCGCCATGTAAAATTCAATACTTTAAAATGACATAAAAAATTTTATACCTTACTATTCAAAATTTTGCAGTTATTATTAAAAAAAATAATTAGAAATAGTAAATATTCACTAAAAGTTTTTTTTTTGCATGGAATTATCTTTGGCTGAACAAATTTTATTATTGTGTGCAAAAATTTTCAATTTGCTTAAAAAGTTTTCGAGATATGGTGAAATACACAAAATGTAAAATTAACATTAAGGAGTCTTGCTTTGGACCGCTTTCCTGACCAAACTATGGGGATATATTTCTAAGATTACAGCTACCCCCTATATTTTGGGGGGCCAGAAATCCGAATTAATTCGAAAAAATTTTTTTTTATTCTGAGAAAGAAGTTTTTGTTTCGAATTTTGTAACTTAAAATATTGTCTACTTTAATTAGCATATTTGAAGTCACTCCCGAGAACCATTATGTTTCAGTCCTAAAACGTGAAGATCTATTCATTGGATCAAAAGTTATTCAGGGTGGGTTCTTCTTTTTTTTTTGCACACTGCACGTCTGAAGTTTTTTGTCATTCTCTATTAAGCTTCATGTTCATTTTATTTTCAAATCTCACACTTGAGGGATAATTTCTTCACTACTGTATCATTGTGTGAATCTTTATTTTCCGCAAACAAGCCATACTATGCTATATATGAGCATAATTTTTTTTAAATCTACATTTGAATAGATTTTTTTTAAAGGATTTGGTATATTTACTTTACAATTATCACCTTTTTAAATGGTATTTATCTCAACTCAAATACATATTTTGTCTTCTAATTATTTTATTGACAGATTGATTTTTTTTCTTAGTTTTGCATGCATTAATTTTATTCATAATTTTTTTTAAATGAGATAGATGAAGAAACTCTGCATTAATGGATTTCAAATTGCTGTTTATTACTACTGTATATGTTTTAGTTTTACTTTTTGTGTTTAAAATACTTTTGATTTCAAATTAGTATTATTTTAATGTCTTTAAGTTTTACTATGAACTTACCCTATTCTAAATAGTTATGTATTTAACATGCTGATTTGAGATTATGGAGCAAACCCTGTATTTGTTAAAGTACTGAAATAAAATTTCAAGTTTAAAATTAGAAAGCATTGAAGTTTAGCGTCAAGAAATTATACATTTGACAAAAGTTGCTGTGAGTCATAAATAATTTTCTGTTTAATAGCTTCAAATGTTTACAATGTAATAGTTTTCGTTATACATGCTGTGTTTTTGAACTAGATATTAGTTTGTTATCAACGATTTAATTCATTTTTCTTTTCCTTTTTTTTTTAGCTCACACATTTTGTGATGGCAAAAGAACTAAAGCATTGTAAAAATGTGGAAGATTTGGACTGTAATGATAATGTAAAGATCAAAGCAAGGGATTTTATCCATAAATATATGTCTAAATTTGGACCCCTGTACAAAAAAGAAAAATATGAGTCACTCTTTGTATAGTTAATTTTGTGTTTTGAATCATAGCTAACCATATACCTGCCTTTATCATAACTACATATGATAAATTAGGAGTCATCAGAATTTTGAGATTTCCGTTTTGTAAATATAAGTGGATAAAAAAAAGTTACGAAGTTCGTTTTAAACCAATTTTGTTTCTGTTTGAGGACTTGTTTGATCATGTCAGATTTATTTATTAGCATTCAAATTCAATCCTTCCTTTTAATTTTTTCATGTTACAATTTTTTTTTCTAAAATGCAACTATACCAATACATTGTATAATATTAAATGTTTATTGGTTGATGTTGTCTTTCAAAACCAAAATATGAATGACTTATTCCTTTCATTTTTACGTCCTTATTGCACACCCTGAACACAATAATTTTATTTAAGTGAAGCCAGACCGGTCCGTGCAAATAATGTAGAAGACTTATTATATTTAAATTGCTACTATGTTATATTAGCTCAGTTTATTTTGGAATTGTTATTAAATCTGTGTAGTAATAATCAATTTTATTTCTTACTGAGTTATTACTGTTAATTAACCTCAATCTCTCATTAATTTTTGCATAATTAAGAATAATTTGCCTTTCTTAATATCAGTTATATATTTATATACCTGAACCAATTTTTACTACATCATCATTATTATAAGTTCTTCGATTATAAATCGGATTCATTCTTCGATTTCATTTAATCATTACATATTCATTTGCCTCATGTATATTTGTTGTGAACTAAGTAATGATCTATTACTTACTATTATTCGACGTAATTTTACTTCATGAAATATAATTTTTTGTTATTTGTTAGTTTTTAATATTAACTCATGTTTCCAAAATCAATTATGTTTTTAACAGTATTTTTTACATTAAAATATGCTTAAATGAAAGTTTAATCTAATTTTTTGAACATCATATCCTATTCATCAATTTCATAGACTGAATAGTTCATAAAATGAAATGAAATTTTCAGGCCTGTTATCTAAAGAGTCAAATCAATGGTCTTAACTTTTTAATATTTGACTAAATGTGACAACTGTGCAATTTGAAATGTTAATAAACATTCATATAATATTTTAAATTGTATTTATACCGCAGTGCTTTTTGTGCTTAGATGCATTAAATCACAACTATGCATTTTTAATGTGTTTAAATAGTATATATGCTGTTAAAAAAAAATTGTGTTCAATAATTATGCATTATTCAATATTATTACAAGAGCAATTTTTTTCTCCTAAACTGTTTTTAAAAAATCAAAAATACAATATATTTTTGGTACTAAAAGTTAACTGATTTATTTTTAATAAAGTTAATGTATATTTTTGTAAGTATGCTTGCCTATAATGAGAGTTATTTTGCAATGTTGCAAGTTATGCCTATAAAGATAAAGTGTGATCATAAAATTATTTTTTTTTTCTTCTTTAGTTTATTCTTAATTGCAGAAACATGTCAGCAAGGTAACTCCAATCACCTGGGTTTATAAAATAAACTGTTCACTAAAATTTGGTTTTTCACTAATGTTTCCTCATAATGTAGATACAATTTTTATTATTATTATGCATAGCTTGCAACCTTGTTTTTTGTATATCAGCAAAATTCCGTACAAGACCGAACTATGCAAAAATTGCAATAAAAACTTTTACCAAATATTTTTGACTCTTGTATAGTATTTGTAACATTAAGGTATAATTTTTATTTGTGCTTAGAATCTTCAACCTATTATTTTCATATTAATACGGCTTACTTTATATTTTGAATCACAAATATTATCTAGTAATGTGGTCAATTGCATAATATTTCAAAAAAATTTCAACTTTGATATTATGAGTGTATCAATCTTGTCTTTGTTTTTCCAATGATTTTATCCAGTGTTGTAATTAAAAAGTTGTACAGTGTTATGACTGAAAAGTGATGCTGATGTCTGATTTTTAGCTGAAATGTTTTCAAATAATGTTTAGATAATTCTCGTATCTAGAAAAATATATATTTTTCCACACTAGTTTTAAATTTTATTTCCTGTGTTTTTTCTTATATTGTCAAAGCTTTTTCCTAATCAGTCTAATCTGTTATTTTATAAATAAATTTTTTCTTATCCTTAAAATAAGAATTCACCAAATATTCAACATCTACATTTTTTGAAAGAATATTGTTTATGATAAACTTTAGTGAGAAAAAAATACTAAATTACATTGAAAATCTCGATGTAAAATAATACATGTGCAACATATGTAAAATGTACATGTTAGTAATGTTTTGTTTAAATAGCAGTATTGAACCTTGAACAAGTTTTTCCCTTTACTAAATTTATACTTTTTTTTATTTCTGGATTTTCAACATGTTGTAGTTCAGTTCTTTATTGTTTTCTTTTAAAAACCTTTTTTTTCTATCAAAATTGAATTCCCTGAACTTTTCCCCATTCAGGTATTAACACTGTAATTTATTACAGATAAAAAATTATATTTACCTATAAAAAATGTGAAATGTATCTTTATGAAAATTTAGAAATTTGACAAAAAAATTATTTTTTAATATTATGCTGTAAAATGCCCAAGAAATGTATCTTAAATATAACTATTTGTGACATACGCAAATGATTATAGAATAATTCAAAGTTAATAAACAATATTCATGTGTTTTTAAGTACCATTATTTCTTCCTTCCAGTTATTAAGAAAAAATTGTATATTTTTCACAATCTTGTTGAAAGGCTATAAATGTGTGAGTTTGAAATATCAATTAACTTCGGAGTAACTTTCTGTTCTAAGGGCTTTTTAATTAACATTAAGTACCTTTCCCAGTAAGTCGCTTTTTACTCATTCAGAAAACCAATATTAGTGAAAGGAACTAAGAGCCGCTAACAAAAATTTTCATTGCCTCATAACATGCTTGTGTAAGCAAAGGTTTTATAAACATTCTGTTTAAGAAGCTGAATCAATATATACTGTGTGATTCCTTAATTACTTTTTCAAATTAGTGAGTTGACAATATGTTTCTAATGTCATTAGTTATTGAAAATTTTATTATGAATATTATATGAAATCTGTTTATTAATTATTAATCGTGATATGCTTTGATTGCAATATTTTATATTGTAAAATTTACCAAAGTCATGTTATTTTATTTTGTGTTTATTTTATTTAGTACGAGTTGTGTATCTTTCTTTTGCACACGACTATAGTGATAAGTTGATTTTCTTACAGCAAATTTATTTTATAGATGTAATGTGATAACTTGATTGTTTGTCTTGTTTATTTTTTAAATTTTGCTATTTAAAAAACATGTGCTGTATTTTAGAAAAAGTGAATTTGTGGAATATGTTGTTATATTTTGACAGTGTTATAATTTCTTTTTATTTGGTCACAATTCATCATACTTTTTGTTGTCAATTTTTATTATAATTTATGAGTTTTCATAACCAATCATATTCATATATATTTAACCCAAAGTAATTGTGTTTATATAGTTAGAATTTTTTTTAGGAAAAGGAAATTCTGTTACTACTATTTCAAATTACTTTATAAGTTAGTAAACATATACAAATATTTTCTTTTGTGTGTTAATTAACTTTGCGAATTAGAGTACTATATGTTTTTCATTATTTGTAATTATTAAATTTATAAATCTGAATCATCAAGAATTAAAGCAAATTTTTATAAATTATCTAAGCCTGATCAATGTTGATTTTCATTTTAAGTACTTTTCTTCTGATCTGCTCTTTCTTAATCTTAAGTACTCTTAATAACTCATAATTCCCTTTTGAATGCAATGTTACATTTATGATTTATTTAAGTGCTTAGTTTACTTTTATTGCCTTTTTAAAGGAGAAATGCATATTTTTGTTTACAACATCTTTTTACCCTTTAGTCTCTACAGTAGACTTTTTACCATTTTTTTTTTTTTTTAACTGATCTACCAAGTAAAAGTAGAAACATGTTCTAATATTAAGTAAAGAAAGTTTGATATCACTATTTGAGCATATTTTAGAGTCTGGAACATGCTTTAGTTGTTGTGATCCAAGTTATTAGTTTAAACATGTTATTAACTTTAATTTTACAATAAATATTTTAGGCATTCTCTTTGTCATTTCAACTGACAAGTATTAGTTTCCACTCTAATACTAGATTGGGCAAAAGAGAGAGAAAAAAAAATTTAAAACACGGTGATATAGCAACACTTTATGTATACTATTTCCATTTACAGAAGTAAGCTTAACTGATGAGTTTTGTCATTTTCTATTATTATTTTTAATAAAACTTATAAAATTTGCTAACATTTAAAAAAAAATAATTTAAAATAATTGTATGTATTCACTGTTATTAAAAACTATTATAAATTGCAATTTGATTTAATTAGTTTAAATTTTTTTTCATGCTGTATAAAATTATATGCTTGATATGCTCCATTAATCTATATAAACTATTAAAAAAAATAGCTGTGGAACTGTTATTTAATATAGTTACTGCATAAATGCTTTTTGATAAATTATAAATTTAGTTTTTTTTTCTCTGTTTGTAGTAACTTATCATATTGCAGAATTAGGGAAAAGAGAAATAAACGGGAATTAATATACATATAGAAATTACAGAATCTTTACACTTGAAACGCTCTGCATCATTAAGTACTTCTTGCTAAAATTAATGAGGGCAAAAAGAAACTTTTGAAAATGTGCTCATAAGTCATCACAGTGAAAAGTCTATTAGTATTATTCATCTATGGTCACTACTTTTAAACAAAAATATAAAATAGTTTCTTTTAAATAAAATGGCACCTTTGCATTGCAAAAGTATAAGAGTACAATATGTTATATTAACAAGAAATATAAATCTATATTTTAAATATGTATTTTTCATTGCGCAAAAAGCAGAAAATGTGTACTTTAATTCACCAATAAATTTTGTTGCAGCTCCAACTTTAGTAATTTACTTACAACTTGTATAAATCAGCTAAATATTGATTTTAGATTTTCAAATAATGTTAATGCATTGATCAACTGAAAATGTTTTAATTTATGGGTTTTGCAGTCTTAAAAAGGTATGCCTACAAAGATTCATTGTACCTTTTTATGTTTAATAATCTTTTTCTAACGTTGGATTTTTCTCGACGTAAAAAATAATTCAATTTTAAACATTTTGAAAGAAAAAAAATTTTGATTTCAAAACTTAGCATTAGTTTTGTTTTAGTTTCCATGATAGTATCCATTGATGAGCTATCAGTTAATTAATATCCATGATAGTGTCTACATTTTTTTAATATATTGATTTTGATTTTAATGATAAATAATTTTTAATAAAATCTCAATTTATCCATTAGTGTATGAAAGGACTTGTGGCTAGAGTATCAGGATTTAGAAGTGATAAGTACTTTTCTTGAATTTCATTATTTTATCATACTTGCTTAGCAATTGCAATATCTTCCCTATTTTTTATTTATTTTTTACTCCTATGATACTATAGTTAATATTGAATAGTAAAACTTATGTCCTTCTGCGTTTGTGTAATTTACTCTCACTATGTATTGTTCCAATTCTGTTGTAATTTTTAGTGTGCTAGACAGTTGAGAATTGTATCATGTGTTACAAACATGAAAAAGAAAGTTTTAGACACCTATAGGCATCAGGAGAAAATCAACATGTTCACAACCTTTGTTTTAAACTTTATTGCTGTTTTCTAATTGCAAGCACAACCTTATGAGATAAGGATTTTTCTTAAAAAACAGCTTTTTTTCCTCATCATACAGTACAGTTTAGATTCTTGAAATTAAATTTAATAATTAAGTAATACTAATTAATGAATTAGCAAATGTTTTTTGAAATAGAATTAAATTATTTGGTTCTATTCTTTGTTTCTCTTTTTACACAAAAGTTACATTGGAATATCACTGGAAAATGAGTAGAAAATTAAATCTATTTCTTGTCAATTGAAATCAAAAGCCTACAAGTACTAATGTTCAATTAAAACTCATTAAACTCTTTTTGAGTTTTCTCTAAATGTGTTTGACCTAATTGAAATTCTATATAAATTTTTTCTCTACTCTCATAAGTTGTTAGTGATATCATTGCTGTATTAAAATTATAAATCTTCAAAGAAAAATCATTTTTATCTCATGCTACTCAAGATTTACTTTTATGTTATATGTTACTGTATTGTGTTATAAATATTATTTTCTTATGCTAGTTATTATATAATAATTAGTATATTGTCTGTTTTATATTATTCTTACTTTAAATTGTGGGAGAAAAAGAATCTGTGTATTTTTCATCAATATTTATATTTTTATATGACTCATGACTTCGTAATGGTGTGCTCATATTTAAAAAGTTATAGTAAAATATATTTGACTGCCTAGCTGCCAACTTATACAAATTTTTTCATAACATTATATTTTTTTATTTAAAGTGGTAGCAAAATTTATGCTTTATTTTCATATCTTGAATTCATAAATTTAGTTTTAAAACATTTTGACCACCATCAAATATAAATAAATCACATATATATTTAAAAGCATCATAACTCAACAATGGAGTGTTCAGATTCTGACTAAATTAAAAAATATTTCTGCATACAATTGTAATTCAATTTCCATATCACTACCACTTGGGAAATTCATCCTCAAGAAAAGTAAAAGTTGGCAGGTATGGGACTGCTTTTTTCTGTACATAAATCATTCTTATACAAGATAATTGCTGCCATTTGGATTTTGTATTTATGTAGAGTCTTGATATAATAAAACTTCAGTTTCCTAAATAAATGTATTTCATTTGATATTAAAATTTATTTTATGGTTATAACTTTTTTTAGCTATTATCTTTTAAAGAAATCTGAATTTTTTATTCAGCATTTCTTGGCTAAAATCTAATATAAAATAGTTTTAGTAGATGTTATTAAGAATTTGCTTTAAAAAAATACCCTGTATGCACAGTGTTTCACCCTAAATTTTGAAACTTTTACATCTTGATATTTAGTACCCACTTTATTACTTGATTGTAAGGTGTTGCCTTTATGAAAGTAACATAAGGTTCTCTTTAAAAAATTTTAGTGATTATATAGAGGCTCTCAACTATCCAGCTTGCGATTTCCAACCTAATGGAACCCTTCGCATTTACATTTGAGAATACTTTTTCCTAAAAGTATAATTTTAAATTCATAGAAACCACAAAAAATGCAGTACATTGTTGTGTGAATGAATGGAATGTTTATTGGCTAAATATTAAAGGCATTTGATCTAAACAGCTATCACTTGAGTTTTTAACTTAGGGGCTATTTTGACTACAGCTCTTTGCGCAAAAGGGAATCTACATATAAAAGAAACTGCTCACAAAGGCATGAATGAGAATGGTCCCTAAAACTTGAAATTTAATGCAATGTCTTAAAATGTATTATAGCTGAAATCTAAACTGTACGGCACAATTTTTTTGTAGAAAAAATTAATGTTAAAGAAACAGGTTTTAAGAAATTTATTTCAATTAGAAATCCACTAACTGAATGGTTGTACAGTCCACAAAAAAAAAAAAAACGAATCACCCTGAATAACTTTCGTTCTAATGATCGGATTTTCGCGAACTAAGTGTCAATCTTAATGGTTCTTGGGGGGTGACCTCAAATATGCTAATTAATGAGTGCTAACTATTAATTAAGTTACGAAATCAGACACAAAAACGTACTTTCTCTGAATAAACATGCATTTTTTTTTTGCATATTTAGATTTCTTATCTTCAAAATATAGGGGGTAGCCGCAATCTGGGAAATGTAGTCCCCATAGTTTGGTCAGGAGAGCGATTCAAAGTTCGTACCCCTTAATGTTAATTTCGCTTTTTGCGTTTTCAGTCATATTTTCAAAACTAATGAAGCAATTAAAAAAAAAATTTCACCCACTCATAAAACTCATTTACCCAAAGATAATTTCATGCAAAAAATAATTTTTAATAATTATTTATTATTATTTAATTGAAGTGAGGATGAAAAAATATTGAATTATAAGGTATGAATTTTTTATACCCTATTAATCTACATATTTTTCAATTGAAAAATCTAAAGTTTCAACTGTTTTTATTTATTAGAAGCTGAGAAAAATTTAAATTAATTATTTTTAAAGAAATAATTTGGCGACAATAAAGAAATAACTAATTAGGGCGATTAATATTAAAATGTGATAAACTTGGGAGGAACTTGACTTC